TATTTACCTCCCCCAGGAATTAGGATCTGACCTGGAAGGGACCTCAGAAACTATCCAGTCTAACCCCTTCATTTTACAGATAAGGAAATTGAGGCAAACAGGTTAAGTGACTTGCCCAAGGACACCTTAGTGGTAAAGGTGTCAGAGGTAGCATCTGAACCCAGGGGCTCTGACTCCAAATCTAGGGCTCATTTCCACCATACAAACCTTGCCACTCACGTTCTGGAGTGCTAAAATTCTGCATGAAGCCTTTCCCAGGCCTCCTTAATCAGAGTGCCTTTCTTCTGAGACCATTCCTGATTCATCCTATTATCTCATTTGTACATCATTGTTTGCATGTCATCTTCTCCATTAGGGACCCCATTAGACTTCGAACTCCCTGAGAGCAAGCCTTTTCTTTTACCTGTCTTTGTATCCTTAGCACAGTGCCTGACATAGAGTATGTGATTAATAAATTCAAGTTGATTGGTTGGTATTGGACCATCCTTAGATGCAGAGAGTCCCAGATTCCTAGTCCCTAGACAACATCTGACTTCTCCATTTCTCCTGTTGTCTCTCTTCCATCTCTAGGTTACCAAGTGACAGTGCTGGTGAGGGATGCCTCCAAGCTACCCTCTGATGGTCCCCAGCCAGCCCGGGTTGTGGTGGGTGATGTCCTGAATGCAGCTAACGTGAATGAGACCGTGGCAGGGCAGGATGCTGTCATTATATTGCTGGGCACCGGCAGTGACCTGAGTACTGAACTTCCCCTGTGTCCCAGGCCTGTCCCAGTGCCCCGGCCCCCTCAGCCACAACCACCCCCACCACCTCCACCACCTCCACCGCTCCCACTGCCTCCACCCCCTCCAGCCAGTGACCGTCACTCTCTATCCTCCCCTCGAAGGTCCCACCACCGTGATGTCAGAGGGCACCCGGAACATTGTGGCTGCCATGAAAGCTCATGGCGTGGACAAGGTCGTGGCCTGCACCTCGGGTGGGTGGAGTGGGGACCTTGAGCCTTACCTGGGCATTAACCCCAGTCTGGAAACCTGGTCCAGCCTGGGACCCTAGCTAGCACAGGGAAGACTGAGGGGTGGGGGAAGGATTGGAAAAGGTGGGGGATCTGAGAAAGGTCATGAGTGGCCTCCTCAAACCTGGGCTGAGGCAGGCCACAGGAAAGCAGCCAATTTGGAGAGCAGTCCGAAGATGATGCCAGGTGACTGAACTGGGGCTATTTAGCTGAAATAGAAGACTTAGGACATGGAACTATCTTCCAGGATTGGCTAGGCCTAGAGTCAGGAAGACTTCAGACACTTCCTAGTTGTGTGACCTTGGGCAAGCCGATTAACCTGTTTGCCTCAGTATCCGCACCTGTAAAATGAAGATAATAGTACTGACATCCCAGGGTTGTCATGAGGATCAAATGAGATCATTTTTGTAAAGTGCTTAGCACAGTGCCTGGCACATAGAGTTACATAAAAATGTCAGCTATAATTAGTATTATTATTTTGTGAAAGAGGGATTAGACTTATTCTGTTTGCCCCTAGAGGGGAAAATTAGGAGCATCAGGTAGGAAAAGCTTCAGAGAGGCAGATGCCTACTCAACGTCAGAGCAAACGAACAAGCAAAAATTTCCTAATGAAGACACGGACAAAACCCAGACAGTATGAGAAAGTGTGGAAGGATTGTGTTTCGCTTTAGTGGATACGACACACCCTCATCAAAATTCTATCTAAATTTACATGTAACCTATTGAGACGGAACACAAACTTGAGCTAAATTATTTAGGTGTTAAGATAACAAAGTCTTCTTATATTAAAATTAAAAACTGCAAAGAGAGAGAGAGAGAGAGAGAGAGAGAGAGAGAGAGAGAGAGAGAGAGAGAGAGAGAGAGAGAGAGAGAGAGAGAGATTCACTAATGGGGAGGCAAGGAGAGAGACTTCCTAATGAGGAGAGCTATCCAGAAATGAAATGCGCTGTCTCAAGAGGGAATGAGTTCCCCGTCACCAGAAGTCTTTAATAGACGATGTATGGCCACTTCGCAGGGTATTGGGCCAGGGTTGCCTACTCCATTCTGTAACGCTGTCCCCTTCTTGCTCTCTCTGCAGCTTTTCTCCTGTGGGACCCAGCTCAGGTCCCTGCCCGGCTGCAGGCAGTGACCGATGACCACATCCGGATGCATAAATTGCTGTTGGAGTCGGGTCTGCACTATGTGGCTGTGATGCCCCCGCACATTGGTTTGTGGTTTTCAGAGGGTGGGCCCTGGGCTCTTCCTTGTTCATACCTACTTAAGGATGTCCCTGGGATGAAAAAAAAAAAGTTCTTCAACTCATCCGCTGACCTCTGAGGTCCCTTCCAACTCAGGGATTCTGTGGTTGGTTCATGCCCTGGCTCTGCCCTGAGTCAGCTGTGTGACTTTGAGGCTTTAGTTTCCCCAACTGTAAAGTGAGATTGAGCTGATCCTGAGTCTATGAACTTAAGCTCTGGTCTCCAGGAGATGCTTTCATTCAGACCCCAGGGAACATCCATCCCCCTTTCTAGCCAGGACAAGACAGAAAGGGAAAGTTGAGCTCAAGATGCTTTCTCTTCCTCTTCCCCACTGCAGCCGGGGACCAGCCACTGACAGGGGCCTACAATGTGACTGTGGACGGACGGGGTCCCTTCAGAGTGATCTCCAAACATGACCTGGGACACCTCATGCTTCGATGCCTCACCACAACCGAGTACGATGGGCATAGTATCTACCCTTCCCATCAGTACAGCTAGGAGAATGTGGCATCCAAACTGTAAGCCCAGCCCCCAGCTGGCTGGACCATGGGTGACAAGGAGCAGCGCTTGGTCCTGTCCCTTGGAAGCAGGGACGGCTCATTGCTGAGTGGGGCCAGGAGAGGAAAGCAGCAAACAGAATAATAAAAGATCGTGTAGTACCAGCCGCTGAATGATCCAGCCTCCTGGACTGCCCTACCTTCCTTCTCTGTGTGTACGTATGTCTCTGTCTCTGTCTCTGTCTCCTTCCTTCTTCTGTCTCTTCTGTCTCTTTCCCTCCCTCTTTGTCCACATAGCACCTCTCTGGTTTATTTCTAACACTTACTCTGCGGGGTTGGGTTTTCAGAGGGGCAGCTGCTACCTCAGGTTACTCACAAACCCCCAGTAACCATTTGTAGGCTTAATTAGCCTGTTTAAAAGGTATTGATGAAGATAGGGTGGTAAGAACAAGTATATAACATTGGGGTTCACTCTCCCACAAATACATATACAGTGTATGGGAAGAGTAAGCTCAAATTTCGGTCTGCAAGATTGTCCGTGTGGCAGACAACACACACCTCCTAATCCTGAAAGGCATGGGAGTCCTCACGTCCCAAACTCCTAGGCTGTGATCCTCTTCTGTTGCCAGGGCCAGGGCCTTTGAGCTGCTTTGTTTCCATAAGGAACGGTTTCTCTGTACCCACCTCTGCTTGGAATGTGTGGTTTCTGGGCCCTCAAAAGTGCCTCAAATTCTGTGGAGCCAAGGAACTCTCTGCTCGATGGAGGTCTCCCTCCTGGCAGGTCCAGGGGAGAGATGTGGCTGATGGAACCGAGAAAGGGAAACCACTTACTGCCCCCCAGTAGGGGTCTCAAGCCTCAACTCCGGAGTCTGCAACACTTTAAACTCCTTAGGGTTTCGCTTTTTAACGTCCCCCCGAGGCTGGCTAGTTTGTATTCTGGTCAAACCCCATTGTTCTTTTCTGGACTCAATCTGAAAAGAGTAGTTTTCTTGACAGTCAGTTTAACACCTCATTAATACTTTGGGGATACATCTGCAAGGGGGGGGAGGGGCGGGGAACAGAATAACTTTCTCCTTCCCTTACATCTGGCTCCTTCCCTATGCTTGTCTCTCCATCTCACTGGCTTTCCTTCCTTTTCAAGTCACTTGTCTTTCCTCTCTCTGTCTCTCTGCTTCTTACTTTGTCTTTTGTCTCCTATCTCTCCTTCTCTGTTTTTACTTACTGGTCCATATCACTTCCCTTGGTCGGTAGGTCGGCTGGTCTCTCTCTCCCCTCCCCGCCCCCCATCTCCTCTCTGTGTCTCTGTATCTATCTTTCTCTCTCTCTCCCTGTTCTGATAACCTGGTCTATATCATTTCCACTTGCTGGGATCTATAGCTCTTTCCCTCTGTCTCTCCTTGTCAATGTCTCTCTCTCCTTCCCTGTGTTGACTTCCTGGCCTATGACTTTACTTGCTGTTCCCTTTATCTCTCCATGTCTGTTTATCTCTCCTTTCCTCCCTCCTCTCTACTCTCGTCTATGTCCCTTTCTGTCTCTCCTTTCCCATCTCGCCTTCTCTGTTTCAACTCCTGTCTGTCTCCCCTCTCCAATCTGTCTCTCCTTCCATCTGTCTCTATCTCTTTATAAGTCTCCATTCCCTCGGGTACCTGGCTGTAAGTGTGCGTGCACGTGTGCTTACACGTTTGGGATGTGCGTACACGTGTGCGGTGTGCGTGCGAGCGATCCAGCGAGCGAGAGAGCAGGGAGCCGCGCCTGGAACAGATCTAGTCCCTTCCCCAACCTCTCGTGCCTCCAGGGCGGGGCCTCGGGGAGTCCGAGAAGGCAGGATCCTGGTCGCCATGGCGACCCCACGCTTCCTCCTCCTCCCCCGCCTCTGGCCGGTCTGATTGGCTGCGGGAAAAGCTTTGGACAGCTGCATTACATGCCTCTTTACGCCTGCGTTGTAGACACTGCCAAGTTCGAGTAGGCGGGGTCGGGCGGGGTCCCTTTTCAGCCAGGCCAAGGGAAAATAACTCTATTCTCCTCCCTACCTCACCTCCTCCCTGTAGGCTTTTAGATGGCACCTACAGGAGGGGCCCGCACTGACCCCGGGAGGCTGGATTGGGAGGCTAGTTAGTTTGGCAGTCACGCGACTCAGGTCTTTAAGTGGCCCGGAGCGCGGGTGGGGAAAAGGAGGAATGAGTGGAGAGTAGTATCACCTGTGGTCGGAAAGGTAACCTCACTCAGCCAATCAGCGCGTGGCGCGGGTGAGGTTTTAACCAGTCTCTGTGAGCGGCCGCTCTGTTGGCTGGGCTGCCTGGGTGTGACAAACACAGGCTCCAGGCCCCTGCCCCGCCTCCAGTCCGGAGCCATGGAGCCCGGATCGGTGAGCTGGAGTCGGGGTGGATGGGGGAGGAGAAGGAGGCTAGGAGTCCCCGTGGACCAGAGCTGCCAGGAGGAGGCAGGAAAACTTCGGGGACTGGAGGGGTTGGAAAGAAGGCTGGAGATCTGAGAGATCAGGTCTTACGGCCGTGGGAGATCAGAGTCAGAAGGGGGCGGGGAGCGGAGAGTCGGTGGTGGTAGTAACTTAAGTTCAAACTTTGGGAGATGTGGAGGTCTGGCTTTGGCAGCCGATGAGTAAAACTGTGTATAACAAGTCTTTTTAAAGGGGAGCGAGCAGTAGTGAGATTGGGATTGAGGTTCAAATTCCAGTCTTTCCTCCAATACTTAACTAGCTGTGTGCCTATGAACAAGTATCTTAACATTTGCGTCGCAGTTTTCCCGCCTGTGAAATGGAGATAATGGTTCTTATACTGCGAAATTTAGGGCGTTATTCAAACGTGTGTGTTGTTATAGACCAGACTAGAACTGCCAGGAAGAAGCAGGGAGACCGCTGGCGATCTGGGAGAATCAAACCAGGTCTTAGAGCCCTGGGAGGTCAGAGTCAGAAGTGGCCTTATCTGGTGGAGAGGAGGAAGTGAAGGGGCCCCTTTCTTCTACCCCCGTGTCTTAAGAACCTAGGTGCTCGTGTCTCTGCTTAAGCTCTCCAGTCGTCACCCAAAAGAACATCGGAATTTCTGTATAGCAGTAGTCTGGAGTGGGGGTGGGTGACTGGGAAATTTCGGGGATTGGGGAGGAGCTCCTGCTACATTTTTTGAGTAAATGTGGTGGGGTTTTTTTCCCTTCTTCTTAAAAACAGTTTAGAGAGGGGCGGAACAGCCAAGGGCCCCATTAGTCTGAATATGGAGTGGCCTTCTGGGAGTTGTAGTCCACCACCTGAATGGTTCCATTCTCCCTCCCCAGAAATAGAACCCGCTCTCCATTCTCCAATAGCCTCTGGGAAAGGAAAGGGGCCGCGCCTCCCTGGGCTTGGCTTGGAGAAGATGAGGCACTCTGATTGGAGGATAGGCCAAAATGGGCGTTGTCTGAACATTTCTAAGAAAGGAGGGGAGGGGCCAGGTAGTACACTCCAGTAGGTGCTTAGCCCCGAGGGTGGGGCACCCCTGGGGCAAGTAGGAGTCCTTTGCTAGTCCTGTGAAAATAAGCTAGGAACTGGTTTCTAGTCTTGAATTGTCAGTGAAAGACTTCCCTCTCTCTGTCCCTCAGTTTCCCCCTTTGGGGGACCTTATTACAAAGTGACCCCCGGACGATCAAAGTCCTGGAATGTCAGTCATAGGACCTAGAAGGGACTTTAAAAATCATTTTAGAAATGAGGAGACTGAGCCCCAGAAAGGTCTACTTTAGTGACAGAGTGGATATTTAAACGGAGATCCAAGGGGGGGGGGAAGGAGTCTGATCACTGAGATATTAAAAGGATAAGGGCCTTAGATCTTATTGGTAAAAGGAACTCCTAGAAGACCCAGTGGGTATCATGCTGAACTGGATGTCAGAGAGACCGGAGTTCAAATCAGGGACTTCCCTGTGGGCAAATTATTGAACATAAATTTCATTTGTAAAATGGACAGTGTTTAGACTGGGTGGCTTCCAGTCTCCTTGTTTCTTCCAGGTCTCAATTTATGATCCTAAGTGAGACTACTCCCTCTACCCATTGCAGGTCAGCACCTCCTCAGCAATTTATAGTCTGAGAGTTGCCAAGAGCATTAAAAAGTTAAGTGACTTACCCAGGGTCCCACCATAGGTACTATCTGAGATACGATTCGAACCCAGGACTTTTGGGTTTTGAAGCCAGCTTTCTCTACCCATTGTTGCAGCCTGCTTCTCATAGTGTAATAATATAAAACCAAAATCCTCTGCATTTCCCAAATTCGTTTTTGAGGATAAAACAATCTCTAAGCTAATAGATCATGCTTTCCTTACCAAGTCCAGTCCATTCTCCCAATATTCAGAAGAGGGCCCTTACTGAATCTCTGGTTTTTGTAGAGGGACAAAAGGGGGACTCTGAGTTGGTAAGAGTCTTAGCTGAGACCCCATATCGAGTCAGTGGCAAATACTAGTCCAGGGCTCTCTGGGGACCCTTTGCAGTAGGGGCCCTGCAGGGTACAAGCAGGGCCTTCTAACTCCTGTCCCCTCTGCCATCAGGGGCCAGTGGTGGCCGGCGTGAAGCGAAAGCACCCAGATGACCACAGAGGTCCACTAGAGGTGGAGGCTAAGAAGGAGTCCCAGGAGCAGGCACCCTCCTCCAGGTCCAACTTAGGCCAGACCCTACTTCGACTTTCAATGGACAAATTCCAGCTCCGCCCACAGAGTCTCCTGAGGCAAGTGCTCATTACAAACACCCTGAACTACATCAAGGAAAAGATGCACTTGGAGAGGACCCCAGCCCCACCTCAGGAACCCAGATTGGAGCTGCTTTTACCCCTGACTGCCCAGTCAGCCAACAACTTCCTCAGAGAGCTGGAAGTGATCCTGGGTTTAAGAGCCACACAGGATGAGCCCCCAGATCCGAGTTGGAGCCCTGCCTCTGCCCCTGATGTGTCCAGTGACTGCAGGCAAATACCTCCCCCTCTTGGGGCTTCGGTTTGCCCATCTGTCAGAGTTGAGGAGCCTACCCTGGGCAGTTTTGAGACCATGAGCAACAGGTACCTTGGAGACCTGGTTCCTGATGACTTCTTCCCTGACATTGACACCTCAGATGTGGAAAGAGATCCTTGGCCTTCGCCTTCTGCCCTTGCTTCCTCTTATGGGGCAGTCTGCTCCCTAGAGCAGCCTAGGGCTGAATGGGACTGGACTGAACTGGACCAAATCTTGGAAATCATCAAGGGATCATAAGACTGGGTGGGGGGGGTGCAGATACTTGCTTACCTCTGGAGAGTTAAAGAAAGTAGTCTCCAAAGATTTCATATCTCAGGAAGTTGGGGTGAAGCTTCCTAGTGACATGGGAAAGCCTCATCTCTTCAGATCTTCTGTCCTGGTGTCAGTGCCTGCTGATGGCAGAACCACAGAATATATCTCTCTTTCCTGATAGCTTAATGGGATTCTGCTCCCACAGCCGGAGCTCTTGTCACCAAATCCCTCCTCCTCTCCACCCTATCGCCCTGACTGGCCCCAGGTGTGCTGGGGCCCAGCACTCTGGGGCTGCTGTTCCCATTCCAGTTAGTCTTTTGTGTCTCCTGTGAGCCTGGTCCCCAGGTGGTCCCTGGTTTTCCCCCTGATTTGGCTTCAGATCAGAGGAAGAAGCTGGCCTGGGGGTTGAGTAACTGCCTGGGGAAAGAAGGGGGCAGGGCAGGGCTGAAGGCCAGGAGTCCTGGGCTCTGGGGAGACAAAGTCCAGGTTGCCAGGAGGAGGGTCTCCAGATCAACCTCCCCCCCCACCAACTCCCAAGGTTGACAGGTATGGAAACAGTACGAAGTCACATCATCTTCTCCCTCCCCACCTCAGTGCCTGGCCATAACTGTGAACCCCCCTCCTTTGTCCTTGTTCACCCCCTTCCCGATCCAAATGTGGCCTTGATGAAGTGCAATAAGGATAAAGGAATCTTTATCCATCATCATGCTTTTTTTTTTCTATTTTAAAAAGGCCTATTTCACCTGTTTTTTTTTGTGAATAAAACTTTCAAATTCCATAATACCCCTTTAATCCCTTCTTCTTCCCATCATGCTTTTGGCCCTGGAGACCTCTGGTGGGTAGGAACAGGTGGCCTACCATATAGGGCCAGAGGTCAGGTGTTTCTCCTTTCTCCACCAGGCCCTCCCTGCCTTTAGGGCTACTCCTGGGTGGGAGGGTCAGTTTAGACTTAGTCTTGGAAGGTTGGAGTTAGGAAGAGCCTTAGACATCATCTTGTCCGGCCCCTCTATCTTAGAGAGGGGGAAATTTAGGCCTGGTTGAGGAAGAGATTACCTTCAATCAGCATTTCTCAAAGAGTGGATCCCTGAGGAGCCCCTGAGACCCTTTCTGGAGGTCTGCAATGTTCAAAACTATTTTCATAATAATACTAAGATGTTTTAATTTCTAACATGGTAAGAGATTGATATTCAACAAACAAAAGCTCTTGGGAGTGGGAGGGGGAGTGTCTCCTCAATTTTTAAGAATGGAAAAGGGTCCTGGAACCGTTTCCTCTCCTGGGGAAAAGGGGCTTTGTGGAAGGGTTGTGACAGGCTCTGATTTTCTTGTCCTTTCTTCTAACTCTACACCCCTCCTCCCAAAAAAGTGAGGTAAAAGACTGGCAGAGCTCTACCCACCCTCCAAGCAGGGTCTGCTGAGGGGAGTTTGCTCAGCAGTGGGAAGATCATGGCTCCCTTCTCGAGAATTCGGGGGGGTAGGGGTGTGTGTGTGTGTGTGTGTGTGTGTGTGTGTGTGTGTGTGTGTGTGTGTGTGTGTGTGTGTGTACACAGTTTGAACACCTCTGGATGAACTCCTGAGAAGACTGGCTGGGTCCCTTCCTGGCCCCAAAACTCTGTTTTCTCCCCCTAATAAAGCCAAAGTCCCCGAGGTGCCCCAGCTTCAGAGCCTCGGGTCGGGCTGGCTCCTTGTCACTTTCGTTTCTGCGCCTAGGGCAGGCCTTCCTCTCCTTCCCCCCACCCGTCCCCGCAGTTCCCCTCTGTCTGGGCCTCTCTCATCTGTTCCCCAGCTGCCAAGAAGTTAAGGACGGACAGGGCTCGGCTCAGCTGCTTGGAATCGCCCAATGGCAGAGCCCCAAAGACCTCAAGAGCTCAGGGCTCTCATCGTTCAGAGCAAGGACGCGGGTCCAAAAGGGGGAAGGGTCCTGGGAGTCTGGGTCTGCAAAAGCCTTGCAAACCCCCTAGTACAGCCCTGATTTTACTGCTGACGCCCAGAAAAGGAAAGTGACTTGCCTAGGTCACCCAGGTCTGCCCCGCCGGGAAGCCGAGCCTAAATTCAAGCTCGCGTCCTCGGAGCCCCTGGGCGTTTTCCTTTTCATCGGGGCACTGGACCACCAAATCGGTCAGAAATCGATTGTCCTAGAGACCTAGACTCTCCCCCGAGGGTTTCCCCTCCCCACCCCCAGAACTCGCTCCAGCAGGCTTTTTAAGGTGGCCGGGGGAGGGGCGGAGGTGAGGAAGGGGGAGGGGGTTCGACGATTTCCCCCAGGCACTTTCAGTCTAAATTCCGGGGGGTCAGTCTCTGTGGCAAAAACGCCGGGGGTGGGGGGGAAGAGATCCCTGGAGGGGGCTAGTTAGACAGGTGCATGTGGGGGTCTTGTCAACCCAAGCAGGAAGGGGAGAACCCAGTCCCTTTTGAGGGGGAGTGGGGGAGAATCCGTTTCTCCAGCTCCTTCATCCAGCCCTTCCCAAAAGCCCAAGAAACGACCCCCGCCCTCGCCCTTCCTAGCCCAGAAAGCGACAGCTGAGACCGAGTGCACACCGCCCGGCCAACCAGTGAGTGCCCCCGTCCCGGGCCTCCTGGCCTCGGGAATCCAGCTCCTGGAGCCCCGGCCCCTGGATGGCCCCGCCTCCCCTCCTCACCCCGCCCCCTCACGGAAGCGAACCAATCCCGCTCTCCAGGGGCGGAGCCTTCGAGAGGCGGGGCAGAAGCGGAGGAAAGTAGCAACCCCCCGACCGCGCGCCGGGGCCAGTGCAGCTTTTAGCGACCCAGGGGCCAGCCGCGGGAGGAGCGAGAAAGCGAGCGATGCGGTCGCCGCCGCTGCTTCCTGATTGGCTGCTGGTGGCGTCGCGGACCCTCTGATTGGCAGCCAACGAGCCGGGTATGTAAATGAGGCGAAGGGGAAGGGGGGAAGGGGGGCAGACTTTGGGGGCCGGAGAGGGGATCGCCGACCCGGGCGCGTCCGATGCTCGGGCGGTGTCCGATGCTCTCGCCGCGGTCCCCCAGGCGCCAGGCCTGGCCCGGGCCGCTGCCGCTGGCGCCTTCTCGAGCCCCGGGTGAATCACGCCCCAGCCTCGGGGAAGGGGAAGGGGAAGGGGGCGGGGCGCGGGGGCGCCGGCTCCCTGGCTCCGGCTGCGTGACTCACCCGCCCCCGCGGCCGCCGCCGCCGTGCCGTGCCGGGCCGGGCCGGAAGCGGGAGCGGAGGCCGGGCCGGGCGGGGAGCCGAGCCAGAGCCGAGCAGGGCCGGGCAGGGCGGAGAGCCGAGCGGGGCTGGGCGGGGGGCGCCCGCGGGCTGGGCCTGGCGCCGCTGGACCCTCCCCCCCCCACCCAGCTGACCCGATCGGCCCCCGGGAGCGTCCGGGCTCTGCCCTGGACTGCTGCTTGGCCCTGGGCAAGTCCGGTCCTCCGACCCTCCGCTGCCCGGGCCCCCTTCAGTGGAAGCAGAGGAGGGGTCTCCAGCGCCTGCCGGGTCAACCCTGGATTGTACAAAAGAAGAAACTGAGGCCCAGAGCTGGAAGGGGCCCCAGGGGCCATCATAATGGAGTGGAGGGTCAACCTTTTTGGTATGGGGGCCCTTTGAGCAGTCTGGTGAAGCCCTCAGACTCCTTTCCAGAAGAATGTTTTGAAGTGCATGAAATAAAACACACAGAATTTCAAAGTTCGTCAGTATTGGAATACGATTATTAAAATATTTTTTAAATGTTCACAGACCCCAGGTTAGGACTCCCTGCACTAGAATGTCTCTCACCACTCCTAATTTTCTGGGATTCTTTGTCCCGAGGCATCAGGAGAGGGGCTTTCAGGGTCCTTGGATGAGGGGTGCCAAAGGAATGCTCTGGGAAGTCCATTTTCTGACCCCATACCCCCTTTCTCCACAGACCCATGTTGTGCAAAGGTGTGAAACGTAAGCGAGAGGAGGAAGAGGAGGAAGAGCTAACCTCACAGGACTGGTGGCTAGAGGAGGCCACCCCCAGCCCAAGCTCTGAGGAGGGGGCTGGCCCAGCACCCCTGCCCCCCAGCTCTCTCTTCAACCTATCTATATTCAAACTCCACCATGGCCTCCGGAGGGGCGAGCCAGATCTCCGCCACCTTGTCCTGGTGGTCAACACCCTGAGGCGAATTCAGTCCTCTATGGCCCTGGAGCCCTCTGCCCCAGAACCCCCTTGTCCAGCTCCTGCTGACCCCTTCCCAGTGGTCCCTGACACCCCTCTGTGCACGTCTGTCTCAGCCCTCCTGGATGACCTGAGTCATATCGAGGGCCTCAGTGACACCCAGACAGCCTTCCCTGAAGATGCCCCCCTCAGCCGTCCCCCTGACCCAGGCCTGGATCCTGGGCGGCCAGCCCCTCTGGGGTCCCTGGAGCTCCTCCTGGAGGATGGACTGGAGGGTCTTTTTGATGATATTGACACTTCCATGTATGACTGTGAACTCTGGCCCAACCTTAAAACAGACTCTGGGGAAACAGAGGACAAGATACAGGGACCAGGGCTGGACGTGTCTGAACTAGATTACCTCATGGATGTGATTGTGGGCACACAGACTTTGTAGGGGGACCAGGAAATGGTTCCCTGCCTGCCCCCAAGAGGCCCAAATGGACAAGGGGTCATGGGGCTGCTGGGAGCTCCCCTCCAGCTACAGATGGTGGGAGGGGGGCATGGAATTGTGGGGAGGGAAGCATGGATGGTTTTTAAGATGAAAACAATTAATATATGAAGCTGTCTGTCCTTTGTCTCTCTTCCTCTTCCCCATATTTAAAATGAATTATCGACCCTTGTTAGTGACACTTGGCAGGTATTCTTAGGGAATTTTTTTTGCCTCTCTGGGCCTCAGTTTCCCCAACTGGGAAATGAAGAGGTTGGATCCCGTAGTCTCTAGGTCTCAACTCTGTCTCTGATTCTCTGTGTGGACTTGAGGAAGTCTCTTACTTTCTCTAGGCCTCAGCTTCCCTTCTGTATAAGGGTTGGAATAGATGTATTTCCCTAAGACCTCACCTGGTGCTGACATTCTGTTCTAAGATCACACAGAATAATATACAATTTCAGAACTGGGGGGGACCTCAGTGCAGTGGAATATAGGCTTCTTGAGATGGATGGATGGACAGGTGGATGTATGGATAGGTGAATGGAGCATTTAAGAACTTCCTAGGTGCCAAGTGCTATACTAAACTCTGGAAATACTAATACAAGCATGGCTGCCCCCTACCCTCAGAGAGCTTACATTCTAATCAGGGAAGATAAATATATGGGGGTTGGAAAGGGAGGCTCAAGGCATTGGAGGAGAAGGGGGTAGAGTCTGGCTGGGGTCCTTCGCAAAATGGTGGTCCTGTAGAGGAAGTCTACAGTAAGGAGAGGAAGGTCCCAGCATGTGAAGGTGGGAATTGGTTCAGTTTTGTGCTACAGTTTAGGCATATAGTAGGTGCTTAATAAATGTTTGTTGATCAGTAGCCCACTCCTGTACCCGAGCAAAAATGTCCTTTATTGTAGCTATTCCCAAACTTTGGCCTCAGGACTCCTTTACACTCTTAAAAATTGAAAACCACACACTCCTTTTGTTTGCCTCTCTGGACCCTCAGTTTCCCCAACTGGGAAATGAGGGAGGTGGTTCCTGTGGTTTTTTAAGGGCTGTGGTTGTAGCTATCAATATCTACTGTATTAGAAATTAAAGCATCTTAATATTATGATTAAAGTAGTTTGAATCTCAAAGACTTCCTAAAAGGGTCCCAAGAGTCCCTGGTTCCAGGACCACACTTGAAGAGCCTCAAATCTATTATCTCTAATAAGTTGCCATCCATCCTGCAGATGGAGATGTCCAGTGATGGGGAACTCACTACTTCCTGAGGCCTTCCATCCCACTTTGGGGAAGCGTTTTCTCTCATGTTAAGCGATGTATTCCTTTTCTCTGCTTCAGTAAAGACCTGGGAAGTCTCTGCTGTGCCCTAAGGTCCCTTCTAGCTCTCCTACATTCTAAGAGCACTTGCCTTTCGGAGGCTTCTTCTGACTGACATACTGTGGGCCTACAAGATGGTGCATCTGTCTGTCCCCTGCCTGTGGGAGCTGTGGCTGGGCCACATTCCTTGGGCCACTTAGTCGTTTGGAATGAGCAGGACTGGGCGGGGTCCCTGCACACTCAGCGCCTTGGCACGGGGCGCTCGCGTCCTTCCTGGGACAGGGAAGATGGAGGGGGGGTTGAGAGGACGTGGGTTGAGGGCAGAGGGAGGGAGGAGCTGGGGATGGCCAAAGCCAGAGCGCTGGGGAGAGAAGATGCTTAATAAGAAATCCTACACCGTAACTCCCAGGCTTGGGTAGAAAGAAGGAAAATGGCCCAATTCCTGAGATCCAGAAAGAAAAGAGGGTTCCTACCCTTCTGGCGCCCTCATCTATGCTCCTGGTCTCCAGTGGGATGAGGGCCAGGAGAAACCTCAGTTCTCTTCTGGGTGTGGGGCTGGGGAATGGAGCAGAGAAGATACTTGCCTCTACTCAGAGCCGAGGGGTTAGAAGAAACACTCCAGTAATGAGCAGGGGGGTGTATTAGCAACATCCCTAGGCTGGGAGTCTGTGGATCTGGGCTACCCATGGGACCATGGGTGGGTTGGGATCTCTTTGGCCTCAGTTTCCTCATCTGTAAAATAGGGGGGCTTTACCCGATAGGTTCTTGAGCTCCTTCCAGATCTAAATGCTATTATCCTCAGGCTGCCTAGGAGGCCCAAACAGATCCCTTCCTGTCTGGCCAGGCCTGGCCCAACCCTCCACCCTCTCTAGCTCAGCTTCCTGCCCCGTTCTGGGGGAAGAGGGCGGAGCCAGGGAGCCCTAAGATCCTGCCCCTCCCAGGAGGGAAATGGGCTGGGTCTTTGAGAGACCTCTGAGGGGGAGGAACCCTGGGGCAGGAGGGAGGACAAGACCCAGTCCCCTCCAGTTCTTGTCAAGAGAGTGAACCTTGTTCTCTCTGGGGATTCTCACCTACTCACCTACAGTGGGGTCTGAGAGTCATGGGCTTTAGAAGAGCCCTAAGAACACAGAAGACTGAATGATGGAGTTGGAGGGGGTGGGGAGGAGGTCTTAGAAATTGATTGAGGAGGCTCTTAGAACACAGAAAGTCGGAGCTGGGAGACACCATCGACTGTCTAACCTGGTAGAGAGAGTTCTTAGAATAAGGAATGACAGAGCTGGGAGGGGCATTAGAACAGGCAATATCAGAGCTGGGAGGGGGTCTTAGAACAGGGAATGTCAGAGCTGGGAGGGGCCTTAGAACAGGGAATTTGGGGGCAGAAAAGAACTTGGAGGAGCATCTGTTCTAAACTCCTCATTTTGACAGAGATGGAAATAAGGCCCTAAAAGTGAAGGGATCTGCCCAAGGTCCCACAGGCAGTAAGGATGAGGCAGTTGGGATCTTTCCTGGGCCACTTTCCGTGACAACAGGACTACATTTTAGGACCTGAAGTGCTCTAGTTTCCCCCTCAGACTTCCTTGGTAAGCGTCTTTCTACACCTAGCCTAGTCTCCTTTTATTCACCTTATGATCTTGAACATGTCCTATTACTGAGCCTCGGTTTCCCCACCTAGAAAAGAAGGTGACTGTCCTTGAGGGCCCCTCCTGCCCTGCTGCTCAGACATGCTTTGAGCGAAGTCAGGCTGCCCATTGTGTTCAGTCCTGCCCTGTCCAGCCCCCCCCCCTCCACGCATTCCCAGAGCCCACACCATTCCTGAGCAAGCTGCCTCCCACCCTGCTCAAAGGGCCTCTGTCCCTGCCAGTCCCCTCCAGCACTTTAAAGTGGATGCCACCGAGCCCCCTTAGCTTCCCACTTTCCCACTAGGGCCTAATGGATATGCTTTCCTCTTGGATTGGAGGAATATTGGATGGGGGCAGAGGGATTGGGCTGGGAGGCAACTAAAGAGAGAGATGAGTTTTGGGGAGCCCTGAGGACAGAAAGCCAGGCTTCTGTGGGGATGCTTGGAGGAGAGACAAGATTGACCAGATATGAAGGGAAGGATTGAGGGGGTATGAGGCTGGAGATAAGGCAAGCCCCATGGCTGGCCCTGGCCAGGCTGGGGCAGAAGGAGCTGTTGGGGTAGAAGGTGGATGTGCCCGAATGGCCTTTCCCATTCCTAGCCCAGTGCCCACAGGCAGACTGCCCCCAGGCCGGTTGGGAGTCCCTTATCCCCACATCCCCTCCCTCCCCCTCCCCTCTGCAGGATGTCCTGTGTTTACAGAGATCCCTGGCTTGCTCCTTCCCCTACCTACCCCTTCCCCAAACCCTCCCCATCCCAAGGCTGCTCCCTATGCACAGCCCAACCCCACCCTGCCAGGCCCTCTGATCTCAGCCTTTTCGCTCTTTGAGGCCCTGCTCCGTGGCTGTCCCAAAGGTGGCCTAGTGTGGAGCAGAGGATTCTCTGCAGACCCTGACAGCTGGCATCCAAGGCTCCCCCGGGTCCCCCTGGAGCTCTGGGAAGGCCCAGGCAGCTGACCACTGCCCCCTCCTTTCGCCCCATCCCGAGCACCTCCCTACCATGGGGGCTCAGTGCCAGGGTCCAGCCTGGCTGCCTGCCCAAAGGTTATTTCCTAGAGCTCAGCAAATTCCAACTTCCCCATTGGTGGCTGGGAGTAGGCAGGGAAGGAGGGGGATGGGGCATTTTTAGGGGAGGAGGGGGGAGAGATGTTTTCTTCCTCTCTTACCTCCCCAGACACCAAGGGAAGGGAACCCAGAGTTCCTGTCCCCACCAATCCCCACAGGAGCCCACCCAAGGCAAAGAGAACCAGGAAATCTGGGCTTGGGGAGTGCAAGCTACTGGACTGAGAATCCACAGACCTGGGTTCTGGTCCTGATTCGGCCACTAGTTAGCACTATGTCCTTGGGCAAGTCCCAAGCTGTCTGGGCCTTGCATGCTTCATCTGTATAAGGAAAGGCTCTGCTTAGGGGGTCTCTAAAGGTCCTTCCAGGATTAACTTTCTATCTTCTGTGTTCTAAGCTCCCTCTAACTCTGACCATTCCATGGTGCTGCGTTCTAAGGCCCCTTCCAGTTCTAGTATTCAATGTTCTGTGTTCTAAGATCCCTCTAGGTCTAAGGCCCCTTCCAGCTCTGGCATTAGGAGTTCTCCTGTCCATCCAGTTCCAGGATCTGGTGGGTCCCGGCCAGGGCACGATGGGTCTGTGCAGGACCAGGGCAGCCACCAGCCCTCAGTGCTCCGGAGAGGGACAATGACCAGTGCCTGAAAGCTGCTGACAGGCAGTTTGAGCTAATCCTGCAGCCCTGGCGGGCCCCATTCCCCAGATCTCAGAGTAGCTTCAGCCAGGCAGGGATCAGACAGGCAGGGCACAGTGAGTTCTACCCAGAACGGGGCCATGTGGACCTACTTCTGTTCCTTGTGCCAGTCTGCGGGGCCAGGTGAGTCGGGGAGAGGAGGACATGAGCAGTGGAGGGAGGAAGGATGAGGAAGAGTCCAGGGATACCTCTCCCTGCTGACTACCCAACCTGACCTGTTATCTCTCCCCCCAGCGCCCTTAAAACCAGGGAAATCAGACCCTTTGGCCCCACCTTAATCAGAGTAGAGCCCCTCGGGGGCAGGGGGCACTTTCTTTACAGCTACTCTGTGAGGTAATCATTACCCCCATTCTCCAGATGGGAAAATTGAGGCTCACTCAGAGTGGGAAAGTGATTTGCTGAAGGTTACAAGTAAGTGGCAGAATTGGAACTGGAACCCCAGTCTTCTGACTCCCCCCATCCCATGTCCTTCTCTGCACCAGACAGCAGGAGAGTCTGGGGACGAAGTAAGGGCTAGGGCGTCAGGCACAGGCAGGAACCTCATGGTCCTTATCCCAGTGGGGGTGAGGACAAGGGGTAGGGAGGCTACGGTGCCACCCCACATGTCACCAACCGTCTCCACATTTGTCTTTGCCCATCCCCCCACCCCCGAGCCCTGGGAACCTGGAGGGGCTACGGAATCACCAGACCGAGAGCCTGGAACTCCAAGTCAGCAAGTCCTGGGCTTCAACATCCCCCCCCCCTTTACCCTCAGTCACCTAAAGTCTCTGAACCTTGGCTTCCTCCTTTGTAAAATGGGGGTAGTAAAACTCACAGTGGGTACCTTATGGGCTGGGTGTGAATAAATGGGACAAGATCCTGGAAAGTACTTGGCAAACCTTCAAAATGGTGTTGTTATCATTGTCATCTTTGCCCATGCTGGTAAGTGGCAGAGCTGGCATTATCATCTGCATGCTGCAGATGAAGAAACTGAGACAGGAGTGGAGAAGGCACTCCCTGTAAGATCACACAGAGAATCCGGGGTGAGTGGGGAGTGGGTGGGTGGGGGATGGGGGGATTGCTCTGAGGTCTAACAGTTATCCTTCCTGGGACATAGTTGGCAGGGCAGGAGGGAAGAGGAGTGTGTCCTTTCCCAGAATCCTGCTTACCCTCAGTCCTTGGCATGTAGGTCCCTATACCCAGAGGCCCAGAGATACCCTCAAACCTTCCTAAATCAAACCAAATCAAACCGAGACTTAAGAAAGTGATAGGGGAAATATTAATGATACACATTAAACTTTGGAGAGCTGGTTGTTAAACATTTACCATCACTCCCCTGCCTCCTCCCCAGCTGACCCCCTGCAAACTTAGGCCCCCAAAATTCAAGCTTGATAAAAGTCATGGCCTTATAGGACCTGGAATTGGAAGAGAGCACATATTCCTAGCCCCCCTCATTTTACAGAGAAGGAAACTGAGGACCATAAGCAGAAGGGACATGTCCAATACCACGAGACAATAATGATATTTCTAGAGTACATTAAGGTCTGCAAAGTGCTTTACACATAGTGGGAAATAGCACGGTGTCGTGAACAGTCAGCCTTGAAGCCAGGGAATGGGGAGAGGGAGGGAAATAAACATTTATTAAGCACCCACTGTGTGCCAGGCACTGTGCTAATTGATCAACAAATATTTGATTCTCACAACAACCATAGGAAGTAGGTGTTATTACTCTCCCCACTTGAGAGTTGAATAAACTGAGGCAGACAAGGGCTATGTGAATTGCCCAGGGTCACACAGCTAGTTAAGTGACTGAGGTTGGATTTGAACTCGGGTCTTCCTGATTCCAGGTCGTGTCCTATCTACTGCAGTGCCACCTCGCTGCCTCAAGAAGACTTGCTTTCAAGTCCTGTCTGAATGGGCGACCCTGGGGCAAGTCACTGCTTCTCAGTCCTTAGGCAAGTCTCTAAGACTATGGGTGCCAGGGAAGGTGTTGATCTACAGCAGGAGAAGGAATTTCCTCACCCGGGACTTCCTATACCAGTGAAATCACAGGTTCAGACTCTGTTCCCTTTACATGTTATCCCATTCCATGGTGTGGTGGATACTATTATTACTTCCACTTTGCAGATGAGGAAACTGAGGCTCAGATAGATTCTTACTATTGACTTGCCCAGGGTTATACAGATAGTAAGTATATGATGAGGTATTCAAACACAAGTCTTCTTAATCCAAGTCCACCGAGTTCCCCATTTAACCGTGCCCAGACTCAAACACAGGACTCCCAAAGCTAAGCCCAGAGCCTTTTACAGCAGCCTTCGCCCCTCAAAGAGTGGAGAGATAGAAAACTAGACATGGGGAGGGGGGGTAAAGGGGCAGGGAGATCCACCCCTCCCCCATTCCAGCCCTCTCATGACAGCTGCCAATGAGCTGAGCCCTCCCACCATCCTCCCCACCTCCTGCCCTCCCAGCCCAGTTCCTTTTCCCCCTGGCCTGGGCAGTGTAGGCAGGGCACCCAGATCCAGCCTTCGGTCCAGGCGGACGGTAAGGGAGCTCCTCTAATTGAACAGCAGTGTGGCCAGGACAGCTGAATCTGGGAGAACAACTCGGGGGGACAGGATGCCTGGGCCATGGGAGGAGAGGCTGAGGGCAGCCACTTGTGACCCAGACGGGGAGAGGCGATGGGGGCTGGAGGCCAAGATGCCTGAATTCTGGAAGAGAGAGCTGGGGGACAGAATGCCTGAGACCTTGGAGGAAAAGGCCAAAGGCAGGATGCCCACATCCCGGGGGGGAAGGCTGGGGGCTGGAGACCAGAAGGGCGGACTCCTTCCTGGAAAGAGAAGGGGGGGGGGTCACAGATGAGGTTGTCTAAGTCCTAGGATGGGACAAAATGGTGACCAGGAGCCAAGTGGAAGAAGCTGGGGGAGATGGGGGAAGGGAGTGAGGGATTGGCCGCTGGGCTGGGTCCCTAGTTGGGACTCTTGATTTCCCCAAAGCCAATGGGCTCCGAGCCACACCTTAGAACCTCCAAAGGGGGCAGCTCTTCTATGGTCCCCCTTGCTCATTACTAACCCTTGGGTCTCCAGTGGAGGAAAGGGCAACTCTTCCCGAAGGAAGAAGATTCCTAACCCCAACCAGAGTGAGATCAAGCTGAACCCAACAGCTCCCAGGTGATTAAGAGCCTGAAGAGACCTCAGCCATTGGCCAGTCTGACCCCCACCCCGACTTTTTTTGCAGAGGGAACAGAGACCCACAGAGATAGAATGACTTTTGTAAAGGGCAGAACCAGGATTTGAACTGGGGTCTTCTGACCTGAAATCAGCATTCTCTCTCCGCCCTAGGCTCAGAAGCATCTTGCTCAGGCAGTGTCAGAGCAGGGATACTGAGTTTTTGAGGGGTCTTCCAAGTCAGCTAATCCATGAGGAAAATGAGACCCAGAGGGGGCAGTCATTCGCCCAGTGCAAACGGCCTCGATCCCAGTCCAGGTCCTCTGACTCCACGTTGGCAGCTCTTTCCACTGAACCACGCTGCTTCTCTCTAGGGGAGGGGGAGAGATGCGCTTCTGCCCAGTTCATCCTCTTCTCTTGCGGGGTCAGAGGATCTCAGGAATCTAGGTTTTACCGCCTTGCCTGTGGGGCACTTCCTGTTTCCGGTTCTTGGAATGCGAGTGTACACTCTCTTGTGTCTGAGGCAGGCCTACTGAGAACACCAGAACCCTGGGCTGGGTCAGGGAACCTTCCCAGCTCTGATATTCTAGGATTCTTCAAAGCAGTTCATATTAATTATGCTTTTAATTAAGAATAATATAATAACAATATAATAATCAATCACAATTACAGCCATGATTCTGGCTTGCTCTGGGACTTCAGGCGAGCCCAAGGGCCTGAGGACCTGAGTTCAATTTCTGGGCGGTGTGGGTGCCCACCTGGCTCTGCCTCTAATTAGCTGTGGGAGCCATCCTGCCTCTCTGGACATCAGTCTCTTCTTCTGTGAAGGATCAGAGCAGGAGTCTTAACCTGCATTATGTACTGGCCCCCTTGGGCCGTCAGGCTGATGAAGTCTATGGACCACTTCTCAGAATCATGGTTTTGCATGCCTAAGATAAAAATCATGGGATTACCATGGAAACCAATTATATTGCAATATAAGTATCATTTAGAAAAACAAGCTAATGACCCCAGGTTAAGAATCCCTGGATCAGATGGTTCCTGAAGGCCTTTCCAGTTCAAAGGCCCGTAATGCTGATTCTTTCCTTCTCCAGGCCTCAGTTTAGTAGATGTGCTGAGTTGGATCTGGGGTAAGTCAAAGGTCAGGAAAGCTGGTAACTGGGGACAAGGTGAGCTTCCTGTCCCCCAAATTCTCTGCTTGTAAGAGCTAGACATGGGGGTACAGAGAGGGTGTGGCCAGGCTAAGTGGGAGGGGAAGGCCAGAAGACATGGGGATGTCCTGTCCCACCCACCTATGCTAAGGAAAGAGGTCATCCTCTGTTCCCCACCCACCCCCTCCCTGGGCCCAGCTGGCCTTCCTGTCCCAGATCCTGCCTCCTGGGGAGCCCTGGTCTAGCCTGGGACCCTCCCAAGCTTCCCTGGGCCCACAAGCTCCCAAAGATCCCAGGAGATGTTCTTACTCTGACTCCAAGTGGTAGGGATGGTGTTGGGATCTGGTGCTGAAAAACACGTGTGGAGAGAGGCAGATGAGTTCAGACTGACACAAAGATGGAGGCAGAGAGACATCTGAAAAGAGAGACTGAGGACAGACAGACAGACAGGCAAGCAAGCACAAACAGAGACAGATGAGGAATGATGACTGATTGCCCAGGTGGGGTTGGGGCGGGGCAGGTCCCAACACGGAGTCTCCTGAAAGACAAGATATCGTAGCGGAGAGGTGTCAGCATCAGCTAGGCCTGGATTCACTTACTAGCTCTGTGCCTCGGTTTCCTCATCTGTAAAACAGGGATAATCACAATCTCCTCCCACAGAGGGGAGGGAGCTCATCAGCTCATCCAGATTCCAGATCTGGGGCTGGAGGGGGCTTCAGAGCACGCTTAGCCAAACGCTGTCATTTTACATATGAGGAAACTGACTCCCAGGAAGATGAAGTGACCTCTGCCCAGGTAGGAAGAGACGAAGGCAGGATTGGCACCCAAGTCTGCCTACCCCTGGGCCAATGCTATTTCCACCATACCAGCCAGCAAATTTCACGAGTGGGGAAACTGAGGCTCAGAGAGCAGATCGCTTTTCTAGTCAAGGGCAGAGTCAAGACTGGGGACTAGGTCTCCTGTGGTCCAGACAACTGATCTTTCTGCTGGTTCTTGAGTTTGGAGGGGAGGGAAGGGGAGGGGAGAGGAGGATGGGTCTGAGCCTCTGTGCTGGCAGAGAGGCCCTTGGCGGGGGAGAAGGGCCCTGGGTCACTGCAACGCTCCCAGGGATCCATCTGCCTGCTGGGGGTGGGCTCTGAAGGGGCTTTGTGTAGTTGGGGGGCGGAGGGGGGCAGGGGGTGGGAATGTGACCAGCCGGGAGGGTTGGGGAGGGGCCCCATTGTTCCTGAAAATGTGCCTTGTGAGAGCTGACCTTTCAGCCAGAGTGGGGGCGAAGTCAAGATGCCAACCCCACTGGGGATGGGCTTGCCAGAAAGAAGGGGTGGAGCCCAGGTGGGGGGCAAGGGAGTGGCTGGAGAGGCCGAGTCATAGAGGAGACCAGACGGTTCGGGTTGGCATCTCAAAAGGGGAGTGAGGAAGTAGGGTGAGTCGCTCAGCTTTGCAGCATCCTAGAAGCCCAGGGCTTGCAGGGGGAATAGACTTATAGGCTCTGTAGCTGGAAGGGCCCTCAGACATGATATAGTCCTACTCCTTCACTTTACAGATAAAGAAACTGAGGCTGGGAGGTTGAATGCCTTTCCCAAGGTAGGTTCCCCAGACAGGTAGGATGGAATCTAGCCTTCTCCTGAGCAGGAATCAGCTTCAATAACCACACAAACAAGAAATTATCCACTTTCTGACTGAATACCCCCAAGGATGGAGACCTCCGCAACTTTGTGAACCAGCCCAAGCGGCTTTTGGGCAGCTCTAATTGTTTGGAAATTTATTCCTTGGCTCAAATCTTCCCACCTCTGCTGCTTCCTCCCTGTGTGACCTTGGGCAAGGTACTTTAACTTCCCAGCCTCAGTTTCTCCTTTTGTAAAATGAAGAGGGTTGTACTCTATGGCTACGGAGAGCCCTTCCAGCTCTGAATTGGTGATCCTATGTCGTTTAACCTCCCCGCCTCAGTTTCCTCATCCACAAGAAGGGAGTCAGACTACCTAGCCTCTCAGGTTCTTTCTGGTTCCGAACTCTGATACTCTTGGCCCCTTCTACTCAGTTGTTCCTAGTCTGGTCCTCTGGGATCAAGCAGAGCTCGGCTTCAACTGCTACTTTGTGGGTGTCAGGCAGCATCTACCCAGCCCCCAGCACCTTTCCCCATCTCTCTTCCTCCCTCTCAGTCCCCGTCTGTCTCCCTGTCCCTGTGTGTCCCGATTTCTACCTTATCGATGGGCTGTCAGTTGGAAAGAGGGGGAACCCCATATCTGCCCCCACGAGTGGCTGTGTGACTCTAGGCAAATATCCTTCCCTGATGTCCTCCTCTTTCCGATGAGGACTTGATGGGAGCTCCTAGTGATGAGATTCCGGTCAGCCAGAAGACCTCCTCATCCCCCTCTCTCTTTCCAGGGTCCCCCAGGCAGTCTCAGACCAAGAACATTTCCAGGGTGGGAGTTGGTGCTGAGGTGAGTAGCCGAAGAGCCAAGACCTGGCCCCATCAACAGAATGGAAACTCCCTGAGGACAGGCAGTGCTCCTCCCCAGGCCCTTAAATGCTTGTTATTAGTTGATCGATTGCTCTGTCCCTGGCTTCTTCTTCTCCACAGGCAGGTGCTCAGGAAGAGAAGGGGAAAGCAGCGGAGAACCCCCAAGCGCCCTGGGCTCAGCGCCCCCCAGGAGCTGGGCATTGTGCAGAGAGGACAGTGAGTGAGAATCCTCCCAGACTCCCACTCACCAATGCTCTGGCCCCCTACAGGATCAAGCAGTGGGAGGCAGGGGAGGTGGAGCCGTGGGTTAGACTCTCAGCTCACCATGGACAAGCCACTTCCTTTACTTGTGCCTCAGTTTCCTCATCTGTAACAGCTCTGTGAGGGAGCTGGTACAAGTATTAACCCTGTTTTACAGATGACTCAGAAAGGTCAAGTGACTTTTCCAACATCACACAGCTTTAAAATTGGGGGGGGGGAAGCATCTGAGTCCAGTTTAAATCAGTCTGTCCTGTCTAGAAACCATTGGATCTGAGCACTGGCTTATCTCCTCCTGGTGGGCTTGGAGTCAGAAGGCTGGGCTTTATTTCCTCCTGCCCCCAGTGCTGTGTGATCTTGGGCAAATCTCTGGACTCCTCTGGCCCTGCCGTTTCCTGCTCTGCTAAATGAAGGGCTTGTCCTGGATGATGCCTAAGGCCCCATCCTCCTGAACCCTGCAGTCCCAGGCACTAGTACAATGGAGCCTGGCTCCTGTTCTCTGGTCCCCTTCTTTCTTAGGAGATGCAGCCTTCTCTTCCTCACTCTGCCTCTTTCTCCCCCCCACTGCAGGCCCAGAAGCTCTTGCTCCATGCAGAGCTGAAGCAAGTTTTACAGAAGAAAGGAGAGAGGCAGGCTGCATCTGGGGCCCTGGCCTCAACCTCTGGACGTACCATGGAGGCCAGAAGTAGGAGTGCTGAGGTATAGCTGTGTAGCGGTAGTGTTGAGGCAGGAGAGCAACATTTCAGGTGGAGGATCCTCCAGGGGTGTGGGCCTGGCTCCTGGAAGGCCAAGATAGCTGGGGACCCTGGACTAGCATGCCTCCCCCAGTGGCAGTGGGCTACTGGGAGCCTCCCCTTCTCCCTCTGAGAGATGAGAAGATTGCATGGCCTCCCTGCCCGCCTACCCCCCACCAATGTCCTCCTCTGCCCCCAGGAGCTCAGGAAGGCAGAGCTAGTAGAGATCATCGTAGAGACTGAGGCTGAGACGGGCGTCAGCGGCATCAACGTGGCAGGCGGGGGCAAGGAAGGAATCTTCATCAAGGAACTGCTCAAAGACTCACCAGCAGCCAAGACCCTCAGCTTGCAGGAAGGTACGTGGGACTGGGGGGAACAGGGGATGGTCCCTTGAAGCTTGGCGAGTAAGACTGCCATACTGAAGAGCTGTGTGAGGTCAGCCTTGGAGTGGTGGCAATGCAGCCGAACCATGGAGGCGTGAAGTCAGAGATCCTGGGTTTCACCTCCACCTGGGGCCAGCTGCTTGACCTATCTTGCCTCAGTTTCCCCATCTGTAAAAGGAGGGAGTTGGAAAGGCCTCTAAAGGCCTTTCTTGCTCTAGATTCTTTGAGACAATGCCCAGGGCTGTGCAGAACAAGACAGATAGGAGGGAGCCGAACTGAGAACCTAAATCAGGATCTCAGGACAGCTGGGTGATGAATCTTCCCAGGCAGTCGGTGACGGGGGTGGGAAGAGGGGAGGGAGACAGGAGGTTATGTTGTTGTTCTTCAGTCATTTTCAGTCACGTCCAACCCTTTGTGACCCCATTTGGGGTTTTCTCGGCAAAGATCCTGGAGAGGTTGGCCATTTCCTTCTCCAGCTCATTTTACAGATGAGGAAACTGAGGCAAGAAAGGTGGTGTGACCTGTCTAGGGATACACAGCTGGTGTCAGAGGCAGGATTGGCTCTGCTTTGTACAGTTACTGGCTTCCTTCAAATCTCAGCTGAGAGCTCACATGCTGCAGGAAGCCTTTCTGGACCCCTCTTAATTCTGGTGTAGGATGGGTGATTATTTCCAATTCCTCAGCCTGTAGCTTATCTGTAGATGGCTATGTTATCTCCCCATTAAACTGGGGACTCCTTGTGAGCAGGGAACTGTCCAGTGTTTGGCACAAAGGAGACATCTACTGAATGTTTATTGACCGACTGGCGGGGCGTGGGGTGGGCATGGCACAGGTGGAGAGCTGCCCCAGAGGAGGGCCTTCAGTGCTAGCTTCTCCTTAAGGAGCTGACCACTTAACTGGGGAAGAGAAATCTAAAATAATCAGGGTACATAGTGAGGGCAAAGGACGGGGTTCGGGAGAAATCTGAGTGAGATTCTTGGCTGGGGTGGTAGAATGTGTGGGCATAGAATGGAATCTCTTTGAGGGTAAGGGGCTTCTCCCCTTAGCACTGATGTATGAGAGCCTGGTAAAGTGTCTGACAGCATACAGGAAGAAAAGGGGAATGGCCCCAGCTTTCACTGGTATAAGGCAGCGGCTGGGGGACACTTGGGGGACCCTTTCAGGAGTCCTCAAGGTCAAAGCTGCCTTCATAATAACAAAGAGATATTTTCATATATCATCAGATCTAACCCATAGAAAGAAAAGGTCTTGGGGGAGGTCCTCAGTAATTAAGAGTGTAAAGGGGCCCCAAGATCAAAGTTTGAGAACCGCATCCCTCCACCTAATTAATAGTCTTAGACAGTTACCTAGAGCACTGAGAGGTTAAATGACTTGCCCAGAGTCCCACATCCAAGTGACTTACAAATATCTCATTTTATCCTTACGACAACCCTGGGAGGTAGATGCTATTTATTTATTTGACTTTTTAGGCAGTTGGGGTTAAGTGACTTGCCCAGGGTCACACTGTCAAGTGTTTGGTCTAAGGCCAGATTTGAACTCAGGTCCTCCTGACTTCAGGGCCGGTGCTGTATCCACTGCACCACCTAGCTGCCCCTGTAGATGCTATTGTTATCTGTATTTTACAGATGAGGGAAAAACCGAGGCAAACAGGGTGAAGTGACTTGCCCAAGGTCACACAGCTAGTACATGCCTGAGGCTGGATTTGAACTCAGGTCTTCCTGACTCTGGGCCCCCAAACTCCACCTTCCTCCATGTGTGTACCTGTATGTTTCAGAGGCAGAAGGTGAACCCAGGTCTTTCTGGTTTTGAGGATGGCTCTCGGCATGTAGTTGGTGTTTAATAATTGCTGACTGAAGGTTCCTCAGAGGAGGTGGCTTTGAAGTTGGGCCTCGAAAGCCAGGCAGAATGGAGGCTCTGGGTCCCCTTGTTGTCATTCTCTGCACTCTCAACAGTGCCTTGAACTCAGGCATCGAAAGTCGCTTTGAATGGGAGGATTTCAGCAGGCAGAAAGGGGAGACGGTGGGGGTGGGGGCACAGCCTGAATGGAGACCCATAGTTGGAAGACGGGGTGGGTGGAGCTGGAGACTTCCCGTTGTCTCATTCAGCTGGTGAAGGAATGAGGGTAAGGGTACATAAGGCTGTCAGTGTAGCTTATGGAGAGCACAGGGAGCTTGGATTGTGACCAGAGCCAGGACTTGCGTTTGAATTCTGGCTGTTACTTCCTAGCTGTGTGACTGTGCAGAAAAGTGTCATGAGGAAGGGGTCAGGGGCTAGTCTTGGAGCCAAAAAGCTCTAGGTTCAGGATCCGGGAAAAGTCACTTGGTCTCTCTGTGCCTCAGTCTCCTCATCTGTAAAAGGAGGATCTTGGTTGGACCAGATGGTACCAACTGTCCCATCCAGAGTGGACAATCTGATTCATGTTCTCAGGACACTATTAAGGTAGTTTAGCCAGCATTGAGCTTAGCCAAACATCAAGCTTAGGACCAGAAGTTATGTAAGAGTTCAGTTATCCCAAGTCATCCAGAAGGGGGTCCAGATCAAGATGGGGGAGGCTGCCAGTGCCCTGGGATGCCCATCCACCCTGCTAGGCCAATGCCCCTACCTATCCTCTAATGGGATCTTAAGTTGCATTAGAAAAGAAAACACCCCAGGCAGCCGGGTGGCACACATTGGCCCTGAAGGTAGAAGGACCTGAGTTCGAATCTGCCTCAGACACTTACTAGCTGCGTGACCCTGGGTAAGTTACTTCACCCCAATTGCCTAAAAAGAAAAGAAAGAAAAAGAAAATACCCAGAGTCAAGGAGGGGGACAGTCTATTTTCTGTCCTGGTCAGATAACATTTGGACCTTCATGCTAGCCCTATATACCGCCATCTTTTAGGATGAAAAGGGAGAAGTTGAAACCCCTAGCCAGGACACTTGGGTGGTGAGGGGATTGGGAAAAGAACCGGGGATGTCTCACCTGGAGAAGACAAGACTTTGGGCAGGAGGTATGATGGCTGTCTTTCAAGAATTTGCAAGATTGTCATGTGGGAGAAGATCTGCCTCATTCTATTAGTTGCCATAGGATGCCCTCAGAAACAATGTGTGTGTGTGTGTGTGTGTGTGTGTGTGTGTGTGTGTGTGTGTGTGTGGTGCAGGGAGGAGTCAGGGAGAATTCCAGTTCCATGTAATGAAAAGCATTCCAATTGGGAGCTGTCCAGAAGTGGGATGGGATGCCTCAGGAGGGAGGGAGGGAGTGCCACGTCGCTGGAGGTCTCCAAGTGGACCATACACAATGACTGGTCAGTGACACTGTTGAGGTGTTTTCTGCTCAGAGAGGAGTCAGACAAAAGAACCTCTCAGGTCCCGGTGTCCAAAGTTCGATTCCACTAGGCAAGAATTTACTTTGCTCACATTGAATGTGAGAAGACAGCTAGTCTTGAATCCAGGAAGACCTGAGTTCCAGTCTCATCTCCAACACATACGGGCACCTCTCTCTGCTCTAGGCGACTCTGAGGTGATAAGGTCCAGAGAAGGTAGCCACTGGCATGGGTAGAGGGAGTGCTCTCATCCAGAATGTTCTCGTAGCAGTTCTGTCCTCTAAAATCCTATGCAGAGCATGCAGGGGCACCTGAAATCACGGGAGGCAGACCAGCTTGAAAAGGGAAAGGGAAACTTCCTATCCATCAGAGCTCTCCAGAAATGGGAAAGGACTGCCTCAACAAGTAGTGAGTTCCCCATCACTGGAAGTATTCAAGCAGAAGCTGAATGATCACTTTAGGGGACTGTGGTAATCGTAAGGGCAGGACCGGATAACCCTGGAGGTCCCTTCCAGCCCTGAGATTCTGTGACTCCCGCAGGAGACCAGCTGCTCAGTGCCCGGGTCTTTTTTGACAACTTCAAGTATGAAGATGCTCTACGCTTGCTGCAGTGTGCAGAACCCTATAAGGTCTCCTTCTGCCTCAAGCGGACAGTGCCCACCGGGGACCTGGCACTGCGCCCGGGCACCGCAGCCGGCTACGAGGTCAAGGGCCCCCGGGCCAAGGTGGCCAAGCTGGTACGCGTGCTGCTCCCGGGCCCCGCCATGGAGGGCCCCGGAGCCCCAAACTCGGCCCCAGGCACCCTGCGGGGAACCTCCCAAGCTGCTCCTGTTGCCCCGGGCTCCGCCCCCTGAGCCTGCCCAGCCATCTGGCTGGACGGGGACTAACCCAGCCGTTAACCTTCCCCAGCCCCCGCCTACTGTCCCTGCCCCAGCCCAGCCCCGCCCAGCCTCAGCCCTCCCATGGCCCACAACGCCCGATGGCATGTCCCGGGCACAGCTCTGACCCCTGGCCTTTCCTGCCCGTAGCCTACCTCCCTATTCCTCCACTGGCTGTCCATCCAGGCATCACCGGCTGATTCAAACTCCAGCTGATAAAGCCAATCTCCCCACAGCAGTGGTTCTCAAACTTTTTTGGTCTTGGGACCCCTTTACATTCTTAAAAATTAGACAGGACTCTCCCAAAAGAGCTTTATTCAGCGGGGAGTTACAGCTAGCAATATTTACTGCATCAGAAATTAAAACATGCTAGTGTTATCATGAAAATCATTTGGACCTGGAGACCCTCAGGGGTTCCTGGAGTGGCTTTGAGAACCACAGCCCCAAGGGATTGGCAATCGGAGATTCTAAATGAAGGACAATCCTTTAAAGCCCAGAGGAATGATGCTATGATGGAGGAAAGCCCGATCGGGCTGGTATCTGAGGGCAGGCCTTCCTTCCCTCATCGGCTGCTCTGTTTCCAACCTCTCCCAATCTGCTGGCACCCCTTATTATTCCACCGCCTCCCGCCTCTCTCCTCTCTCCCCAGAACATCCAGAGCCTGTCCCCAGTGAAGAAGAAGAAGGTCCTAGCTGTGTCGGGGGCCCCGGGAATCCCCTCAGACCTGGCCCCTGTTGATGTTGAGTTCTCCTTCCCCAAGTTTTCCAGGCTGCGACGGGCAAAGGCCGAGGTGGCCCCGGGGCCCACGCTGCCCGCCCCCGCCCGCCGACGCTTACGTCTCCCCCGGCTGCGGGTGAGGGAAGTGGCCGGTCCCGGTCCAACTGCCGAGCCGGTGACCCAGGTCCCTTCCTTGGCCACCATCCCCTTCCTTGGAAGCAGGAAGGCCAAGGTGGAGGGTGCTCTGGCTAGAGAGGAGCCATCCTTTGGGGCTCGCTTTGTGACCCCCCAGCTAGAGCTGGCTGGGCCTCAGAGGGCAGGCGCTGAGGCGGTGGCTGAAGCTCCACAGCCTCCGGGCACTGGATTTAGCCTCCATCTGCCCTCATTGGGCCTGACAGCCCCAGCGGCCCCTGTGCCTGAGGTGGCCACAGGGGGGATTCAGGTACCCCAGGTGGAGCTGCCTACCCTCACCAAATTGCCTTGCCTAGAGGCCAGAGAAGGTGGGGCCGTGGCAGCACCTGCTTTAGATGTGTCTGCGCCATCCGTGGAGGTGGACCTGGTGCTGCCTGGGGCCGAGGCTGAAGTCCGGGGAGAAGGGCCTGAGGTCGCTTTAAAGGTGCCCTGGCTCACCTTTCCCCGCTTTGGTGCTCGGGGGAAGGAAGGGGTAGGGCTTGAGGGGGAGGGGAAGGCTGGCAAAGGAATAAAGGGCAGTCCTGAGGCCAGGGCCAAAGGGCCCAAGCTGCGGATGCCCACTTTTGGGCTCTCCCTGCTGGAGTCCCGGCCAGCTGTACCCGAACCCACCACAGAAGGCAAGTTGAAACTGCCCACAATCAAGATGCCTTCTTTTGGCATTGGGGTGCCTGGGGCTGAAGCGAAGCTGCCCAAGGGCCCAGAGGTGAAGCTTCCCAAGGCCCCAGAAGTGAGGTTGCCAAAAGTTCCTGAGGTAAAGTTGCCAAAGGCACCATGTGTGCAGCTCCCCAAAGGGCCTGAGGTGAAGATGCCCAAGGGGCCTGAGGTGTCCATCCCAGAGGTGCACCTTCCAGACGTGCAGCTCCCGAAGGTGCCGGAGATGAAGATGCCCAAGGGACCTGAGGTGTCCATCCCAGAGGTGCACCTTCCAGAGGTCCAGCTCCCGAAGGTGCCGGAGATGAAGATGCCCAAGGGACCTGAGGTGTCCATCCCAGAGGTGCACCTTCCAGAGGTCCAGCTCCCGAAGGTGCCGGAGATGAAGATGCCCAAGGGACCTGAGGTGTCCATCCCAGAGGTGCACCTTCCAGATGTGCAGCTCCCGAAGGTGCCGGAGATGAAGATGCCCAAGGGACCTGAGGTGTCCATCCCAGAGGTGCACCTTCCAGAGGTCCAGCTCCCAAAGGTGCCGGAGATGAAGATGCCCAAGGGACCTGAGGTGTCCATCCCAGAGGTGCACCTTCCAGAGGTCCAGCTCCCAAAGGTGCTGGAGATGAAGATGCCAAGGGACCTGAGGTGTCCATCCCAGAGGTGCACCTTCCAGAGGTCCAGCTCCCAAAGGTGCTGGAGATGAAGATGCCCAAGGGACCTGAGGTGTCCATCCCAGAGGTGCACCTTCCAGAGGTCCAGCTCCCAAAGGTGCTGGAGATGAAGCTACCCAAGGTCCCAGACATGTCTATCCCAGATGTGCATCTTCCAGAGATACAGCTCCCCAAAGTGCCTGAGATGAAGCTGCCTAAGGTCCCGGACATGTCTATCCCAGATGTGCATCTTCCAGAGGTACAGCTCACAAAGGCACCCGAGACAACACCTGAGATGAAGCTGCCCAAGGTCCCAGACATGTCTATCCCAGATGTGCACCTTCCAGAGGTACAGCTCCCCAAAGTTCCAGAGATGAAACTGCCCAAAGTTCCAGACATGTCTATCCCAGATGTGCACCTTCCAGACGTGCAGCTCCCAAAGGTGCCCGGGATGCAAATGCCCAAGATGCCAGAAATGCACCTCCCTAAGATGCCAGAGATGAAGCTGCCCAAAGCTCCAGGTGTGCGGCTTCCTCAAGAACCCATAGCACCCCGTGGGGCAGAGCGGGCAGAGGGGCTGGACTTTGGTTTCAAATTGCCCAAGATGTCCATCCCCAAGTTGGGACGAGTGGGATCTCCTCCACGGGCCAAGGTTGGGGTGGTGAGCCCTGAAGTGCCAGGGCGTGGGAAGCCGTTGCCCGAGCCAGCCACCAAGGGGCCTGAGGCCCGGCTCAGCTTCCCGTCTGTTACACTGCCCTCGGTGGAGCTGGAGCTGCCTGGTACTGGGCTCCCAGGACCCCCTACAGGCGAGGCAGGACCCCCAAAGGGGGCTGCTCCCACACCTAAGCTTCCTGCAGAGCTTTCTGGGATCTCTCTTGGTACAGTGGAGGAGGGGGAGGCAGGGTTCAAGATGCCCAGCCTGGTCCTGCCTGCTGTTGAGATAGCTGCCCCCAAGCTTCCTGAAGGAGGGGCAGAGGGGAAACTGGAAGTGTCTGAGCCCAAACTCAAATCTCCCAAGTTCTCCCTGCCTAAGTTTGGGCTTTCGGGCCCCAAGGTGGGAAAGGGGGAAGGGGACAGTGAAGGGGGTATACGCGGGGCCAAGCTGAAAACATCCAAGTTTGGCATCACCTTCCCCAAGGTCCGGACAGGTGTTGAGGCTGAAACCAAGGAATCTGGGGAGGCTCCTCTGCTGTCTGCCCTGGGTGTCTCTGTCCCCCAACTCAGCCTGGATGTCCAGTTGCCCACAGGCAAGGTGGAGGTGCCCAGCGAGCTGCCTGACATCAAACTCAAGGGTCCCAAATTTGCTTTGCCCAGGTTTGGGGCCAAGGGCAAAGATCTGGAAGCTGGAGAGATGGCGCTGGGGGAGGGGGAAGCAGAAAGCAAAGGCCGGGGGTGGGAGGCTAAGGTAAAAATGCCCAAGTTTAAAATACCTTCATTTGGGTTGGCACGGGGAAGGGAGGTGGAAGATGGGGACCAGGGCGGCCCTGAGGACAAACTACACGTGGGGCATGCTGCCTTGAAAATACCCCAAGTGGAGCTGCCTACATTGGTGGCACAGGGAGAGGAGAGAGCGGAGGTGGAGATGGCAAGGGGAGAGGTCAAGCTGCCAATCCTTCAGATCTCAGTGCCTGGGTTGGAAAGTGGGGCAGAGCAGGTGGGCATGGAGGCCTCTGAGAAGGATGTCAAGGGCTACAAGGGAGAGATGGCAATGCCCACACTGGGAATCACGGTGCCCCAGGTAGAACTAACTGGTTTTGGGGGGGTTGGCGAAGGGATGGGATCTGAGGGAAAAGCTTCCCAGAGGCAGCAGGAAGGGATGGCTACTGCAACAGAGCGGGGTGTGGGGGGTGTGGGCTTCCGGGTACAGCTGCCCCAGGTGGACCTTTCTCTCCCTGGGGCCCAAGCAGAGAGAGGGGAGATGCTTGTGGGAGAGGGGGTGTTCAAGATGCCCGGTGTGACTGTGCCCCAGCTGGAGCTGGACGTGGGGCTTGGGCACAAGGCAGAGGGGACCAGGGATGCTCTGGTGGGAGGCGAGGGGCAGCCAGTGGCTGAAGGCACAGCAGAGGGGAGATTCTGGTTGAAGATGCCCACCTTCAAGGGCAGTGGGGAGGGTGATGGTCAGCCTGTGGCCCTGCCTGGAGCTTCCCCTGACCATACCTTCCACCTCTCCCTTCCAGATGTGGGCTTCACAGTGGAGCCAGGAGCTGCACAGGCAGGCACACCCCTGGAAGGGGGCAAGCAATGCTCCTGGATGCCCGAGGTGGAGCTCTCCCAACCCGCCATGGGCAGCCATGCTGAATACCAGGTGGCCGGGGATGGGCTGGAAGGTGAGGCCGGGCACAGGCCCAAAATCAAACTGCCTCGATTTGGGCTCTTGCTAGGGAAAGAAGAGGGAGATGATGGGGAGAAGGCCAAGGGAAAGAAGCTGGCAAAGGCGTCAGGCAAGGATGAAGCTGGTGTCTCTGGGGAAGGAGGAACAAAAAGCTCCCCAGGGTCAGGGAAATCTACTGTCCTGTTGTCTTGGGGTGGTTCTGGAGAGGGTGGTGGGGAGGCTGGTGGCCGGCTCCGGAGTCCTAAGCTAAGACTGCCTAAAGTAGGCTTCGCCAAGGGTGAAGCTCCCAGTGCTAACGGGAGCAACTCCCCAGGGGAGGAGGTGGGAGCTGCCATAGCCCTGCACAATGGGGCATCCCCAGGCCGCCTTGGCCGTGTGTGCCTGCCCCAAGTGGAACTTGCCTCCCCCTACAAAAGCCCAGAACAGGACCCCGAGCTGAGCCGGAGCCTGGTGGGGGTGGACAGTGGCCCCTTCGCTGCCTTGCGGGTCACTCGTTTCCGCTCCCCCTTCTCCAGCCGCTCTAAAGAGGAAGGGGAGCCTGGTGGGACTGAGGGATCCCAGAGGTCCCCCGGAGACAAGTCCCCCAAATTCCACTTCCCCAAGGTGTCGCTGAGCCCCAAGACACAGGGGGTGGCCAAGGGAGCCCCAAGTGAGGAGGAAGAGGGAACATTCAGGGTCCGGCTGCCTAAGGTGGGCTTCTCTGAGGCAGAAACTGAAGGCGAGCCAACCCCATTGGGCACTGCCAAGATGGAGGGGGCCCAAATGGCAGCCATCTAAGCTCTTTTAGGGAGGTAGCAGCGTCTTCCCTGTTCTCCCCCTCCCCCTACAACTCTGCGTGTTAGATACTAGCACTAACCCTGTGAGGCCTGAGAGGTAGGAGCAAACCCAGGAAACACTGGGCACCAGCTACCACTCAGGCTGCATGCTTCTCAGAGGAAACATCTGTGTAATGATCAGGAGCCAATTGGTATGAATAAAGTAACCCTAAGTCTGCTACTTTGTCTGGTAACCTCTAGCAAGAAGCCCTGGGACTTTGGTTTGGGGGTCACTGGGCCCCTCTTCTTCACTCTTAGGTAAGAAGGAACCAGGAGAGACCAGAGATTGGGTGGGAGCATTATGGTTGTCCCCTATGGGGGCTGGACAAAATATAGGCACCCTTGACCTGGGGGCATCTCTGACTTGAGGTGAGAACCAAGATCCCTGGCCTCGGGGAACCCCAGTAGAGAGGGATATGTGATGGGGAAACAAGGTCCCTGCTCTTGCAGAGAGGGACACGAAGCCTCTGCCCTCACGTGGTACTCTGTGGACGGAAGCCCTTGGAATGAGATTGCTCTAGAGGTGGGAGGGATCACCTCGTCTGCTGTCAGGGGAACCTCTCGATCTAGGGTGACAGGGAGGAGATAGAGCGGCAACTCCTGGGGTAAATCATCTCCCCTCCAGAGAGGAGAGCCCTCCTTTTATATGAGGGAAGCTAGAGGCTTGTTTCGGGAGGCCATCAATTTGTGGCCTCAGAATCCCGGTCCAGAGGAACGGGTGGTGTATTGGGACAAGAGGGGCAGAGAGAACAGACCCTTCGGCCCTGCTCCCAACTCTGGGCACCAAGATGGGAGGGGAACATTAGGCGGCTAAGATGGGGTGGAGGGCACCAAGTAGAACATGGGGAGGGGTATGTGGCTGAGCCCATAATGGCTCTTTGTTGACCCTTGTATTTACCACTGGGTGGGGAGAAAGGTGGCACTTGGTTGCTGGGGGCTCGTGCTGAAGCGCATCCACACGCATGTCCAGTGACTGGCGGGGCAGGGCAGGGCAGGGCGGGGCCAAGGCATTGTAATCTGGGGGCAGGGGGAGCTCAGTTGGTATGGTGGGGTGGGGTGAGGCAGGGCAGGGACAGATGGCAGAGCTGGCTCGGCGGGGACCACCCTCCAGTAACCTCCTTTCCTGGTGTTCTGGTCCAACCAGTTTGCCGGGGCTGGCGGCGCCCAGAGGGGAGGCAGGAGGCCCAGAGGGCCCGTCTTCTCCAGCAAGGCCTCAACATTTGTGACCAAGGGCAGTACTGCCCTAGGAGGGGGCTCAGCTCTCTTTTCCCCAATCCCTCCTCTCAGGAAGGGAAACGGAGGCCTAGCTCAGGGTGGACCACATGAATCATAAAATCTCAGAGATGGATAAGACCTCGGAGGGCTGCTATTCTAACCTGTGTCTGAGGAGTCCCCCGGCAGCATCCCTGACTATAAGAGTCACCCACACGAGTAGAGAATTCTAGGCCTGGGTTTAGCAAGGGCACCTTTCCAATGGTGACTTCTTCAAATGGGGAGGGGAAACGGATTCCCATCACCAGGTTCTACCATCCAGAGGAAGGCTAAGTGCCCCGAGCCTTCAGGCACTGCCCACTGCCCACCCTGGGTTCTGCCATCCATTGGGGGAGGGGAGAGGCTTTTCTTGGAACACGATAGTCCATTCTGCATCAGGGTCCAGAGGAGGGTCTCCGACAACAGAACCCATCCCGCTCAGCAACCCCGGAACCGATCTGGGTCCGGGGGGGAGCTCATCCCGAGCCCAGGGTGGGGGGGAGGGGCGAAGGCCCTGGCAGTTTCGCACTCCAGAGAGGGGGGGGGCGGGGCGGCGGAGAGGGCGCTGTCCCTGGGCGGCACAAGTGCGGTTCTCTTTCCCCCGCTTGGGCCCCGGGGCCGGCGGCGGAGGCTCGAGGGCACCGGCCGGGCCATGGCCACCATCCAGTCTGAAACTGACTGCTATGACATCATCGAGGTCCTAGGTAAGGGGACCTTTGGTGAGGTGGCCAAGGGCTGGCGACGGAGCACGGGCGAGATGGTGGCTATCAAGATCCTGAAAAACGATGCGCACCGGAACCGCATCATCAAGAATGAGCTGAAACTCCTGCGCTGCATGCGGGGCCTGGACCCCGACGAGGCCCACATCATCCGCTTCCTTGAGTTCTTCCACGATGCCCTCAAGTTCTACCTGGTCTTTGAGCTGCTGGAGCAGAATCTTTTTGAGTTCCAAAAGGAGAACAATTTTGCGCCTCTGGCAGCCCGTCACATCCGCACGGTGACGTTGCAGGTGCTTCGGGCCTTGGCCCGGCTCAAGGAACTGGCCATCATCCACGCTGACCTCAAACCAGAGAATATCATGCTGGTCGACCAGACACGTTGTCCCTTCAGGGTCAAGGTTTGGGGACAGGGGTCCAGAAGAGAGGGACGGGTGGGGGCGGGAATCCTCTCTTCTCACCGACCCCTCAGCCCTTTTAGGACACCCCCAAGCCTACTCCCACCCTTCTGTCACCCAGGGCCTAAGACCCTCACACATCTAAGGTGGGACCCCTCTGCTTCCGAGTTCCCTTCCCGGCCTCCTTCCCATCCTCACCTACTGTACTTCCCTTAGGCCAACTCCCACCGCTGACCTGCATCCCCTCCATCCCAACACCCCAGAGGAGAAGCTCCTCCCCATCCTGCCTCCTGACCTCGTCCTGTTGGAAAGAGGGGTCGGTGGGGGCCTTAGCAATCGCTCAGGCCTCTGGGCTGGGGGGATCCACCTGGCTGAGGGCGCTGGGGGTGTGCTCACAGGTGATTGACTTTGGCTCAGCCAGCATCTTCAGTGAGGTGCGTTATGTCAAAGAACCCTACATCCAGTCCCGCTTTTACCGGGCTCCAGAGATCCTCCTGGGACTGCCCTTCTGCGAGAAGGTGGATGTCTGGTCACTGGGGTGTGTGATGGCTGAGCTTCACCTGGGTTGGCCGCTCTACCCGGGCAACAATGAATATGACCAGATCCGCTACATCTGTGAGACCCAGGGCCTGCCGAAGGCCCACCTCCTCCACGCCGCCCGGAAAGCACACCATTTCTTCAAACGGAACCCCCACCCGGAGGCCTCCAACCCTTGGCAGCTCAAGTCTTCAGCCGACTATCTGGCAGAGACCAAGGTAATGGGTGGCTTCTTTGGGTCTGGGCACGGCTGTTCGGCCTTGGCTTCCACAGGCAGAGCCTGGGGTCGAGCCCTGACGGGTTCCTGACCGCTAGGTCCGCCCCCTGGAGCGGCGTAAATACATGCTCAAGTCTCTGGATCAGATTGAGACCGTGAATGGCGGCGGGGCAGCAGGCAAGCTGGCGTTTCCAGACCGCGAGATGCTGGCGGAGTACGCGGACCTCAAGAGCATGGTGGAGCTCATCAAGCGGATGCTGACCTGGGAGTCCCATGAGCGAATCAGCCCCAGCGCTGCTCTCCGCCACCCCTTTGTGTCCATGCAGCAGCTGCGCAGCGCCCACGAGGGCACCCACTACTACCAACTGTCCCTGCGTGGCTGCCGCCTCTCGTTGCAGCTGGAGGGCCGGGCGCCCGCAGATGACGGACCGCCCTACTACCGCCTGGCGGAGGAGGAGGAGGGCAGTGGTGGCGGCGGAGGCAGCACCTATTACCAGGAGGAGAAGGCCCCTGGTGTGCAGAGGGCCATCGACCAGCTGGACGATCTGAGCCTGCAGGAGCCTGGACGGCTGTGGGGGGAAGGCCGGGCCGCGGCCTATGGTGCCAGCGAGCCGACCACCGATGCCCTGGTGCTGCCAAAGGGGGTCAGCCGGTGGGGCCGGGAGGCCGGGCCCGAGCCTATCCTGGCCTTCTATGGCAGCCGACTCACTGGGCGTCACAAGCCCCGCAAGCACCCCGCCGGATCCAAGTCTGACCCTAACTTTGGCAACCTCATCCGGCTGGGCCAGGCCTCGCCTGACGAGGGCGGGCCTGGCCGGGGTGGCGGCTGGGAGGAGGGGGAGCGGCGTGGGGCCTCCGCGGACCCCCCGGCTATCCCACAGCTAGATGGGGATGGGCCCGACGAGCGGCCTGGGGCCAAGGAGCTGACACTGGCCGCTGAGGTACCAGGGGCTGGGGGAGGGCACGTGGCAAGGGGCTGACAGGGTGGCGGGGATAGGGGTGGGGTGAGGCCAACTATAGGAAAAAGCGGGTGGCAGGAGAAGAGAGCACCAGGTAAAGGACACAGCTGCCATTAGCCCCAACTGTCTGGTGGGCAGCGACAGGCCCAGTGGTTGGGCCCGTGTGAAGGGAGGCAGAGGAGAGGATGCCGAAGGACCCCCAGGACTCCCTCCTGTCTCTGCAGAGGGCTGGCCCGGAGCTGTACGACGCAGGCGCGCCCCCCCTGCCCCCCTGCCCGGGGGAGTGGCTAAGCGACTCTGACTGGAGCTTGGAGGGCAGTGGGGGGGCTCGGGGTCAGGCCCCCCCGCCCCACCACCCCCACCCCCACGGGCCTCCCCGGGTCACTGGCTTCCTCCAGCACGTCGGCGGGCATCACTGATGGACACCCCCCTTCCCTGGGCCGTGCCAGCCACGACCTGGTGCCTGCTTCATTTGACTCCTCCCTCGCCCTGAGATGCGCTTACCTAGAAATCCAGATTATAGTTACAGAAAAAATAAATACACAGAGATTCCCCCCATCCTCACCTTTACCTCCCTCCATCCCCAGTTCCTGTGCACCTGAGAGGGCCCTGCCAGGACAGCCTGTGGGACCCCCCCCCATGGCAGGAGGGGTGCCCAGGGAAGGGGTGGCTGCTGGGGCCCGGCTCCATGACCTCTCCCATCCCCCCAGCTCTTCCTGTTTCCATAAAGGACTGTTCAGCTGCTCTGGCCTTGTGGTTCTTTGACTGGCTTGGGCCTAGGCAATGGAGACAGGAACCCCCGGGGAAGGACCCTGATCAGGAGCTCTGGGGGCCAAGAGCTATGCCTGGAATATGCTAACCACTGCCTGGTGCTCTGCACCCAACTGCACCCACCTTGCTCCCAAGTACAACCTCTGCTCATGCTAAGAGACCCAGACACGTCCCGCTCAGGTTCGCTCTCTGCTCCCCTCCCCTCCTCCCTCCTTTCTCTCCCTTCTCTCCCTCCCTCTCTCTCTCTATTCTCTTTCCCTTCTTTCTCTCTCCCTCCACCCTTTCCCTCTCCTCTCTCCTTCTCTCTCTCTCTCTCACACACACACACACACACCCCTATTCATCCTAACATGCTCCAACATGCCCTACTCACGTTCGTGAGTATACAAACACACATTGCTATCACTATCACTTGGCCTTGGGCCAGATGACTTCTGACCCCACTCGTGCCAATGCCCTCAAACACCCCTCCACTGGCGCCTGTGTAAAACAAACTGTGTCCACACTAACACACGTCTCGTTTATGCTAACTCATACTGACAATCCCCCCCACCCCGACCGGCTCCCACATCTCATCATCTATTTGGCAGCAGGCAGGCAGGTACCTCAGTGGCGGTCCGATCCCATGGCCCGCTGTCCCCCCCCCCCCAACTCTCAGCAGACACAAGGCTTGCCTCATCGACACTTTATTCTGGTTGGGATCCCTGGCTACAGATGCAGCTTCAGTGGGTGTTCAGGGGCAGGGAGGGGGCAGCCCCCAGGAGGTCCTTTCCAAGGCCCTATTTCTTCCCCTCCCCTTCATCATGAGAGGACTCCACCCCAGGGAGGGCCCGTCTGTCCCCCGATTCCACAGCCTCAAGGAGAGCTGGGAGGAGAGGGGGAGCCTCTGGCCGGACCTGGCCAGGTTCTGCCACCCCGGCTCTGCCCGGGCTCATGCCCTTCACTGCTGGGAACAGCTGGTCAAACAGCCTGCCGAGGTTTCTGAGGCAGAGACACAGATGGGAGGGAGACACAGGAGAAAGACACGGGGAAAAAGATGGAAACCAGGGAAATCCACACAAAGCTGGACAGAAGCCTCAAAAGACAGGAAGCCACAAAGACCGACGACAGAGATGGCGACAGACGCTCAGAGACGGGCAGAGACCGAGGTGCAGGGAGAGAGAGGGTAATGCAGGAGCAGGAGGACAAGACGGCAGGTCAGAAGAGACGTCACACGAGGGGGCCCCACCGTGGCCTCCGGCGACGGCGAGCTGGGGCACAGGGCGCTCACAGCAGGCGGCAGGAGTGCCCCTCGGCCAGGCCCGGGCTGTCCAGCTCGTGGCTGTACGGGGAGGCCCAGTCCCGAAGGAAGACAGCTTCGAGTTGCGTGCGCAGGCCGGGAGCCTCGCTCTGATTCACCACCAGGGCCGAGCCCGCAGTCTGTGTGAAGTAGTTGCCAGACCAGTTGGACGTGCCTGAGGGTGGGGAGCGAGAGGGTCAGGAGGACCGGCTCCCAGCCCCGGTGTCCAGGATAGAGGGGCGTGGCGCAGGGGCGGGACCTCGGTTCACTCACCCACATAGGCCGCGCGGTCCGTCACCATGTACTTGTTGTGGTTGACGCGGGCGTAAGGGATTCGCGCCTGGGCCTCATTGGAGGGGACCACGAAGAGCCTCTAGGGATGGAGAAAGGACCATGCTCAGCAAGGCAAGACCACAGAGATGGGGCCAAGGGATGGTGCACGGGGGGGGGGGGGGGGGGGGGAGGTGCGGAAGGCCAGGGACACAGGGACAGGATCAGACAAAGGGCAGGGCGTGGCTGGAGGAGGAGGAGGAGCACGTGGTGGCTGACCACAGATGTCAGGAGCAGTCTCCTTACCACCTGCACGTCGTAGTGGGTGTGGTTGTCCTGCAGCGCGGCCAGGGACAGTAGGAAGGGACGCAAGGCGGGGCTCCGAGTGGCCCCAGCAGCTGACCAGAAGTCTCACCCGAACTCCTCGCTCAAAGGCCGCTCGCCGTAGGGCATCGTCGATGGCTGGCCAGAACCTGGGGAGGGGGCCTCCATGCTGAGCCACCCCTCGGCTTCCTTCCCTCCCACCCACACCCCATTCCCACACGGCCTCTCCATCAGAGTCCTTTCGTCCTTGACACAAACTTCCCCTCCACCCCCGACACATAGGCCACACACACCTTCGAGGGTGGGAATATTCCATGATGGGCAGGTAGTTCATAACAGCAACATAGACAAAGTCTCGGGCATCATTCACCAGGCTGAGCAGGGCGCGCAGGTCCGGGGTGCGGCCCCCAGGGCACAGCGACGGGGGAGCGCTCTGCGGGGGGCCAGAGAGAGAATCAGTACAGCTACCTCTCTCTCTCCTCCCTGCCCCCAAATCTTGGAATAGGGCCCGGGAAGGAGGGCAAAGTCAGACAAAGGGCCAGAGGGCACAGGGGTGGGGACTACGGCAGGGTGGGCTCCTTACCGAGAGGAAGGCCTGGGAAGAGGTCCCATTGAGATGCAGCTCCATGGGGGTCTCCAGGTTGTAGTGGGTGGTGTAATTATCTGGCCAGGGGGAGGGGATGCTGCTGTCCTGCCGGCCCAGATACCAGTATGCCTCGAACACTTTGGCCAGGTCCTGGGCCAGGCAGCTGCAGTTGTAGACCACCACCCCTAGCTCCTTCACCTGCAGGAGAGATGCAGAGAGCTCTGGGAGGGCCGCCCCACACTTGGGCCCCTCAGGGAGCAGCCGCCTGTGCTCACCCCCACCCGCTCCCTCTCGCCCAGCCCAGTGGGGCTTTAGGGGACCAGGGTCAGCATCAGCCTTAGTCCTCACATCCACAGGAAACAGTAAGTGAACAGCCAAGTACTGGGTTGCCTGCACAGAACCTCAGGGTCCTATCTAGAAAACTGGGTGATATTTGTGATTTGTACTCTAAAGAGCTCAGGATCACGGATCTAGAGATGCAAGGGACCACAGAAGCTAGTGAGTCCAACGCCCTCATTTTACAGATGAGGAAACTGAGGCCCAAGGGCACCAACTTGGTCACACTGTGAGGCTGTGAGCCCCTTTCCAGAGGAAAGCACTGATGGGGAGCCCCACCATCATATCAAAACAGAGGGCACTCAACAGCTGCATCCAGGTGGGGAGGGCACAGTACCCTCCCCCCCCCGGCCCACACCCCGACTTCTTGTTTTCATCCTTAGCACCAGCCAGGTGAGGCCTGAGAGGTAGAGAGCGCCCACCAGTGGGTCTAACGGCTACAGAAGCCCTTGGCCATCCTCACTGCCCCCAGGGGGCGAAGGTCAGAAGATAAACCAGGGTGAAGAGAGGAGGGGGAGGGCGGCGGGGCTGGAGGTGCCAGAACGCCAAGGGTGAAGACCTGGCTTCATCTTAATGGCTGAGCAAAAGCAGGGTCCGGGCTGGATCATCCCTCCCCGTGCTTGGTACACTGGGCGAGGAAGGAAGAGTTCAAATCCAGCCTCAGACACTTACTTACTGGTTAGCTGTGTGACCCTGGGCAAGGAACTTAACCACTAGTTGCCTCAGTTTCCTCATCTGTAAAATGGGGATAATAATAGTTCCTACTTCCCAGGGTTGTCATGAGGGTTGAATGAGATCATGACTGCAAAGCTTTGAGCGCAGTGCCAGGCACACAGCAGGTGCCGTATAAATGTTAGCTACTACTATTAGCCATTATTACTAAGAGCAGTTTGTGGGGCTACACGTGCAGGATGGACCCCAGGCAGGGAAGGCCTGGTTGTGTGTGTGTGTGTGTGTGTGTGTGTGTGTGTGTGTGTGTGTGGTCTGTCCAAGGCTTCTATTTTAGCCTGGGAGACAAGGGGTACCAATGGCAGAAATGGTGCTGAGCCCTACCAGGACAGCATATTTGACGCCTCCCCATCGCCCCCATGGTCTTGCCTCTCACATCCACACCTCTGATGCACACGTGCTTCTCTCAAGTCCTCCTCCTGGGACGCAGGCCCCCTACCATCCATCCTCACCCTCTGTGAGCTCCTCAGGCCTGTTCCCAAATCACTGGGATTGGTACATGACTGGGCATAGCCTGCATTTACCCACTTTCTCTTTCTGGCCTCTACACTCCCACATGCCTGTCTGATAGGGTGCAAGCTCTCGGCCAGTCACCATGGCTTGGACTTGCATTCCCAAGGCCTTGTGTGCTCCCTAGCACACAGTAGGTGCCGACTGGTTGGTCTTGACTTCAGGTCACTGTTTATCCACTAGGCCACCTGGGGACTCCAATGACTGCTCCCTTTGTGGTCTCTCTGCTGGATCAATGACCATTTCCTAGGTCCCCCAGGGCCTTCCCAGACCATCTTTCCACTCCTCTTCCACATTCTGTCTCAGGGATCTTGTAGATGGTCAGCGCTTCAACCAATACATCCAGGCCCAATCTTTCTTCTCAGCTCCCATCCCACCCTGACTGCTGCCCATCTCCATCTGGACGGCCCATGGCCAAGGCCAACTCAACATTCCCACAACAAACCTGCTCACCCAGATGCTCCTTCATCAGGCCACGAGTGACCCCCAAGGCCCTGTCCTGGGCCCTCTTCACTCTTCCCGTCTCTTTGTGCTCAGTGATCTCCTCAACTCCCACGGTCTAGCTGTCATTCCTAGGAGATGGCCCCCAGAGCTGGGCTCTCTCCGGAGTGATGGTCCTGCCCTGCTGGCCATCTCTCTGGGCAGGCATCTCAAACTTAACACACCCAAAATGGAATTCCTGGTGTTTCCCCTCAAACTCACTTCCCCATCACTCTTGAAAGCACGCTCCCCTCCTGGTTACCAAGCTGGCAACCTCGGTGCCATCGTCAGCTTCTCGCACTCATTCCACGTGTCCAATCCACTGCCACATCTGGCTGTTCTGTCCACAACACCTCCGTCTACAGCACCCCAGCCTAGGGTTTCATCCCTCGCCTCTTACCAGGATGATTACATGTATAACTGTACATTGTTTCTCCCTTCAGAACGGAAGTTCCTTGAGGGCAGGGACCGCTTCTGGATTTTTCTTTGCATCCTCAGCACAGATGCTAGATTTCTGATGGATAAGCCCAGGCCTCCCCCAAGCCTCCCCATTTCTTTTGAGGGCCTCATCATCCTTCCAGGCCCCCAGTTCACACCCTCTGAGTCCTTGTTCCCTCCTGCTCCCCCGGATCCAATCGGCTGCTAAGTCTTAGCTCAGCTCAGTGCCTGGCACACAGTAGGTGCTTCATCAATGTTTATGGATTATCGACTGAAGTCTGGCTGACTCTACCTCCATTGCACCCCTTCACTCATTCAGCTGCCATCTTGGTTTGGGTCTGCATCCCCTCTCAATGGCCTCCTAATTGATCTCCTGCTTCTCCCCAGGGCATCCTCAACACAGCAGTCAAAACAAAGTCCCTGAGGCACAGAACCGACCCTATTCCTTATCCACTCAAAAACTATGTCAGTAATTCCCCAAGGCTTCTACTAAGCTCCTCAACCTGGTACTTCAGGCTCTTTACCGTGTGGCTCTAATTTAACTTTCTACCCTTATTTCTTACTTCATAAATGCTTGTCATGAACTCTCTGTTGTAGCCCCAAGAACTAGGAGTCCTTCCTTGAACCTGATGTGTTTTCTCAGCCCCAAGCATCATTCCAGATGCCCACCCCACACCTGTGGGGCCCGCCCTCCCTTCCTCATCTGTGGCTCTGGGAACCCTAGACTTCCTTCGAGGATTCCTTGTTATCCCCACCCCAGCCCTGTAAGCCCTCCTGGATCCCAGCAGTGGCTATGTTTCTCCCTCCCTTCTCAGACTGTCTTGTGTTAATCTGGACATTAACCATGTCATATTCCTCTGGAAGAATGTAAGCTCTGGGAGCCCTCGCAGTCTGCTTCTGAACCTGGCTTGCTAGGGCCTTCTGGAATTTTATTCCGAAATTTAATAAGATGGCTGAATTAGGAAAAAGGGGAACTAGTTGAGAGGGAGTAGGGGGGTGGAGGGAGGATGCCCTCACATCCCCCAATTCCCTGGAGCCTTCTCGGGGGAGGCAGCATCCTTAGCTCCATACCTGGGTCAGAGAACGCCAGTCCATGTTGGCACTGCCAATGTAGATATGGGTTTGATCCACCACCCAGAACTTGGTATGCAGGACACCATGGGTCAGTTTCTGCATGTCCACCATCCGTACCTGGGCCCCTGGGGGAAAGGGAAGAGAGATGCTGGGTCCTTCTTCCCTGGCCGGCCCCAGCTCCTTCTCCCCGGGCTCCCAACACTCACCGCTCTTCAGAAGGCTCTGCAGGTCAGCCTGGGGTTGGGGACCCCTGGGCTTGCTGACAGCCACGCGCACAGACACGCCCCTTGGGGCCAGCCTCTGCAGCTGCCTGAGAATCTCCTCACCCTAGGAAAGAGAAACAAGCACGATGCCCAGGTGCCCTCTGGCAGGCCGAGGGCCCTCTCTAGGGCACAGGTCTCTGTTTACCAAACAGAGGGGCTGGATCAGACACCCGCCCCAACGTTCCCTGATGTGGGACGTGGTGGAGGGGCTGTCCTGCTGGCCTCAGCTTGGCCCTCCCTGCCCCTTCCCCCACCTTTTCTAGTCCTCCTCCCCACATCAGCCCCCGCCTGGTTCCCAAGCTGGGCCGGGCACGAGCAGGGGGACACCTGCTGGGCAGAAGGCTCCTGGGTCTGGGTGTCGTTGTTGGTGAGAGTCCAGTAGAAAGAGGCGATGTCAAGGCTGTGCTGGGCACCGGCCATCAGGTCTAGCCACGCCTGGCTGATGGAAGGGTGGACAGGACCCTTGGGGAAGGTAAGGCCCTCAGGGATGCTCTCTACCAGGACAATCCTGGAGGGAAAGAAAAAGGGGAAGGATCAGGCTGTACAGCTACAAAGATTCTTCCTCTTCCCAGGCCAAGCCCCTCTGGAAGGCTCCAGTGGGGATGGGGGGTTTTTCATTGGTGCCCGCCTAAGTCTCCGTCCTGGTAGATGCCATATAAGTACACACACACACACACACACTCTGAGGATCTGCCCACTTCTGGCACCAGGGCTGGAAGCCTTTCCCCCAGGCCCAGCCTTTCCAGGGGGCACTCACTGGCAGGGATCCTCGCAGACGGAGTTGGGGGGTGGCTGGGTCCTCTCTTGGGGGGTCTTCAGCCTGGGCCACAGCAGCTGGGTGAGCAGGGCACCCAGGCCCATCGCCGTCAGTGTCATGATCAGCAGCACCCATCGGACTTTCTGGAGGAGGGGGAGGAAAGAATGGCATGGTGGGGAGGAACCCCTTGGGGAGGCTGAGCCAGGCATGACCTCCTGCCCCCCCCCACGGTGTCTGGGGACATGGAGGCAGAAAGCACTTCCCTCTGACATCAGGGGACAGCGTGCCTGGATGAGTGAGCTGTGTGTATGTGTGTGGAGGGCAGACAGAAGGGTGACAGAGGGGTGGGGAGGGGCAGGGTGAAACTGTTCTACCTTGTCTCCCGGTTTCCAGGACACAGCAGGTGAGGGAAGCTGCTCCTCGGGGCGCGGCTTCAACTGTGGGAAAAGGAATGATGAAGGACCCCTTCCAAGACCCCAGAGTGTGTGTGCGCGCATGTCTGTGCACACATATACATGGGGGGGGGGCCAAAACTGCCCCCAGGAGGCAAAGCACGCAGCCCCTGTCACAGGAGGAGCTGTCTGAGTGCCTGTGACCTCCCCAGGCTCCTGTCCTCCCTCACCTGTTGGTAGACTGTATGGAGCTTCATCTTCCTCAGCTGAACCCTGGCAGGGCCAGGCAGGGGGATGAAGGGCAAGTTCTCTCTCCAAACTGTGGGGAAGACAAGAAGGATTTCAGCCTGGGTGACCCTGGAAAGGGCCCGAGTGGCCACGGGGCAGGTCACAGGGTCTGCTGGCTGCATGCCCTACCCTCTTCCCCTCAAAAGGAGGAAACAAGTTGGCCATGAATAGGCCTTATGCAATTCCTGAGGTTTATGGTCCTCCTCATCTCCCCAAACGAATACTAGGACAGGGTCCAGAAGGAGAAAAATCCTCACAGCCTGAACTTGGATGGCCCTCTGAGGGGCATGAGGCAGTATTCTCCCACTGTGCCCATTTTACAGATGGTTGAGAGAAACAGGAATTTCCCCAGTGACCCACAGCTGGCAGGAGCCAGCTGTGCTGATCCGAGGCTGGGTTTCTGGCCTGGGCACTGCTGATAAGTGCAGTCCTCTAGGGTGCTAGGAGCTTTGGGTAGCTTGATTCCCTGCTCCTGCCCCCACCCAGGTTGGCATGGTTGGGCACAGCACCCTCTGTGACCGTCATACACCATTGTTTCCCTAGACGAACGTCTGATGGAAGGGGGGGGGGAGCGTGACTGACTGACAGACAGCAGAAGGCCCAACTCCCCCACCCACTGCAGGAATGGGGGGGGGAAGTCTGGCGGGCAGCGCAGGCTGGCTGAGACTGAGAGCCCAGGTGTCTTCCCTGGAAACCAGTCTACAAAGACTCCATCGGAGCCAACCTTACCCTACGTCACTGAGTACATTGTGAGCCCCAGTCAGCTCAGAGAAAGGAAAGGAGGGGTGGATCAGAGGACCCCCACCCTTGAGCAGTGGTGAGTAGATCGGGGCTGGGGATGGGGGGTCCAGACTCCTAGGACTGGCCCGTCTCTGCAGGCTGGCTCGAGGTCCCCAGTCAATCCCCGGCTCTCCCCAGAGGCCTTCGCCTGGGCCCAGCTCTATCTTACCTGGAAGGAGCGTCCTCCCAAAGGCCCCCGATGCCTTTCTTCTCCCAAATGGGGAGACAGGCCCGGCTGAAGGCTCCAGAGACAGCCGAGGGGCTGGATCAGTCAGCGGCTGGCCCCACCTCCCAGCCGCGGCAGAGGCGGCAGCAGCAGCCACTGAGGGCGGTACCTAGGCCTGGCCACACCTCCCTCTCCACGCCACTGCAGACCTCAGCTGGGCCTGCAGAGAAGGCGGCGGTGGCGAGCTCAGGGGAGTCCCCACCCCCGAGCCATCTCTGCTCTGGGAACAAAGCAGTCTTCCCCCACTCAGAGCAGCCAGTCTGGAGATCCCAGACACTGGGCTCTCTCCCACTCCCAGGCTGGGTGGGCGGATGGGCGCCCGGCTGAGTCACCGAGTGCGCGTGTGTGTGATAAAAGGGGCTGGTGAATGACTGACTGACAGGCCAGCAAGGCCATCTTCTGGCTCTCTGCTTAGCCAGTCGCCTCTGATCATGCGAAGGATCTGCAGTCTGATGGATAAAGTCTTCCCTTCCCCAGACAGCCTTTCCCAAGCCCTCCCTCTCTCCATCGATACGAAGTTATCCTGTGTAGAATGTGTCTGCACACGTTGTCACCTCCCCATTAGACTGGTAGCTCCTCTGGAGCAGGGATCATCTTTCGTCTCTTTTTGCATCCTCAGTGCCTGGCTCACAATAGGTGCTTAATAAATGCGTACTGACTGACTGTTAGACTGCCTGTGTGATCTTGGGCCCTCCCTCCTCTCTGGGCCTCAGTTTCTTCATCTGTCAAATAAAGGGCTTGGCCCAGATGATCCCACAGGCTCTTTCCAGCAGGAAATCTGGTGAGATCCCATTGGCCTCTGAGCCCTTGGCCCCCTCTTCTTCTTTCTGCCACCCCTGCTCCCCCAGGAGCAGCTCCCTCCAGTCCAGGGCTCCTTCACCTTTGGGTGGGGCAGTCTGGGGAAGCCTGAGGCCTCCCCTCATCTTAGCTGCCTATCTCCACAGTAAAGAAATGCTAAATTCCAGTTAGGAGTCAGTGAAAATAAAGAGGCTATCCCCTCCCCCCAAATCCCCACCCAAGTTCAGGGACGCTGAGATCTATCCACACATGCTCTATTAAGAACCTCTCACCTAGGGGCAGCTAGGTGGTGCAATGGATAGAACACTGGCCTTGGAGTCAGCAGGACCTGAGTTCAAATCCGGCCTCAGATACTTGACACTTATGAGCTGTGTGACCCTGGGCAAGTCACTTAACCCCAACTGCCTCATAAAAAATAAAGCAAAACAGAAAACCTTCTATTAGTCTCTGCTCTGCTTCATTTGGGGGCAGCTAAGTGGCACAGTGGATAGAGCACTGGCCTTGGACTCAGGAGGACCTGAGCTCAAATCTGGCCTCAGACACTTGACACTTATGAGCTGTGTGACCCTGGGCAAGTCACTTAACCCAACTGCCTTAAAAAAAAAAAAGAACCTCTCACTTAGCAAACGCGCAGGGTTGGAGATGTAGGTTTTCCAAAGGCAAACAGAAGTGGGCTGTTCCCAGCCTCTCCCTCCTCTTTGGATCACAGGACCCCAGCTTCTGGGCTGGAAGGGCCTTCAAAGTCACTGAACCCATCTCCCTCATTTTACCAAGGAGGACATGGAGGTCAGAGAGGTAGTGACTTGTCCAAGGTCACGCAGACAAGAAGAGCCACACCTCCGGGATTCCCACGTTTGCCACTGTGTCCCCTGCCTGTCTAATGGCCACCTGGCTCATGCATAGCTTGGGCCCTACTTTCCTGGCTGCCTTTGGTCCCCATGGACTCTGCATATAGGTGAGTGAGAACCAGGCCAGCAGGCCGTAGGCAGGAATGCCACCTCTGTGTGGCCAGCCCCGGAGGTACCTACCTATCTCACTGAGTGGTTACAAGGATCAAAATGTCACAATGTATGGGAAGGCAAACACTCTGGAGACCTGAAGGCTTTATGTCTACTGCTGTTAATGGAAGGGCAGCTAGGACAGCTAGGTGGTGCCCTAGTGCACAGGGCCTGGAGTCAGGAAGACTCACCTTCATGAGTTCAAATCCAGCCTTCCACACTTACTAGCTGTGTGACCCTGGGCAAGTCACTTCACCCTATCTGCCTCAGTTTCCTAATGTGTAAAATGAGCTGGAGAAGGAAGTGGCAAACCAGTCCAGTATCTTTGCCAAGAAAACCCCAAACAGGGTCACAGAGTTGGACACCAGTGACAAATGGCTGAACAAGTTGTTACTGGAGGCAGAGAACACGTTCCCCACACTGTGTACTCTCTGGGTCCTAGGGCTCCACCCTAAGGAGCACCAGGACTTGCCATACATCTCATTTCTCCCATTAGAATATGAACTCAGTCTTTGGCATACGGTAAGCGCTTAATAAATGCTTTCTCCTTCCTTCGGGAATCCAGCATGATATGGTAGCCAGGAGAGCTAATTCAATTTTGGGACTCATTAGCTTCTAGGGATAAGGAGGAGGCAGGTTCCACCCTACGACGAGACGCACATGAAACTGTTTCTTTGGGGCCACATTTGGGGCCACATTTTAGGAAGGGCGTTGGGAACCTGGAGTTTGTGCCTGGAGTTCCATTCACTGACTTGGAGACTTGCTCTGTTTGGCTCTGGGGTGGGGGTGATGACGAAAGTGGCAGAGGGCAAACTCAGGCTCGAGGCCCAGGAGAAGCTTTCCAACCTCCAGAGAGGCCAAGCATGCCATCAGCTGCCTCAGGAAGTAATGAGTTCACCGTCACTGGAGGGGTTGACCATTTGTTCGGTGAGCTTTTGAGGGAATTCTTCAAATATGGGTTGGGGAAATTCTGTGATTGTGGTCTTTATCATTCTTACTCTTAGCTCCCAGGAAGAGTGGCGTGGTGGGGAGGGCTGAACTGGACTCAGGCAAGACCTGGGGACAGACACTGCCTGCGCCCCTGGAGTCCTTCCTGACTTTTCACTGTCTCTCACATCCAGGTCGCTGCCCGGGCCTCCCAGTCATGTGACCCTAGCAAAGCTGTGCAGGCCAGAGTCTCAGCTAACTTGCCTGCGAAATGGAGAGAAGCAAGTCTTGCTCCGCCTGACTTTCTGGGTGGCCGTGGGCTGCTGTGATGCAGCCCCGGGTAAACGCCGGCTGAGCCTGGTGCCCGCACCATCCGGAGATGCCTAGGCAGAGAAGGGAGTCAGGAGGCCCGGCACTGAGCCGTCGCTCTGACCCTCCACAGCCTCAGCGTCCCCCTGTGTAAAACCGAGCTAACGGCCCCTACCGGGCACTTCCACTGGGAAGACTAGACAGGGTGAGAGGGGCCAGGACAGGCCAGTATCATCCCTGTTCATCCGCCTCAGCTGCCTCCTAGCATCTGAGGCCCCGAGCACCACTCCTGCCGCCTGGGATACACACTCCACATGCAGACGTCCACAGGCAGCTCACATTCCCCCAAACCCACCTTCCTTAGGACTTCCTTGATCATTCAGGGCCACCCACCAGGCTGTACCCTAGGAGGCCTTTTTGACTTCCCAACATCTCTTGCATCCAATGCATTGCCAAGCCTTTTCCATCCACCGCCGTGGCATTCTGTGCCCTGCTTCCTGATAGCCCTGGCACCACCTTAGTTCATCCCTTCTCCCAGACCTTCCTAAGGGGTTCCCTGCCTCTAGGCTCTCCCTGTTCCACTCCAGCTTCTCAGCTGCCCAATGATATTCCCAACGCACAGACCTGACCTTGCCCTCCCACCCCAGGCCTCACCAAGATGTTTCTGCCATTCTTTGGTGATTTTAAGCTAAAATATGATTCCTCTCCAATTGATAAATGGTTAAAGGATATGAATAGGCAGTTTTCACAGGAAGAAATTAAAGCCATCTATAGTCATAAGAAAAAATGCTATAAATCACTATTGATAGAGAAATGCAAACCAAAACAACTCTGAGGTACCACATCACACCTATCAGATTGGCCAACATGACAAAGACAGGACAACGATAAATGTTGGAGAAGATGTGGGAAAACTTTGGGGCAGCTAGGTGGTGCAGTGGATAGAGCTCTAGCCTTGGAGTCAGGAGGACCTGAGTTCAAATCTGGCCTCAGACACTTGACACTTACTAACTGTGTGACCCTGGGCAAGTCACTTAACCCCACTGCCTAGCCAAAAAGCAAATTAAAAAAAAAAGATGTCAGAAAACTGGAACACTAATGCATTGTTGGTGCAGTTGTAAACTGATCTAACCATTCCAGACAGCAATTTGGAACTATGCCCAAAGGGCTATAAACCTGTGCATAACCTCTGATCTAGCAATATCACTTCTAGGTCTGTATACCAAAGAGATCATACAAATGGGAAAAGGACCCACATGTACAAAAACATTTATAGCAGCTCTTTTGTGGTGGCAAAGAATTGGAAATTGAGAGGATGCCCATCCATTGGGGGATGGCCGAACAAGTTGTGGTATATGAATGTAATGGAATATTATTGTGCTGTAAGAAATGATGAGCAGGCTGACTTCAGAAAAACCTGGAAAGACTTGTATGGACTGATACTGAGTGAAGTGAGAAGAACCAGGAGAACTTTGTACATAGTAACAGCCACATTGTGTGATGACTACTATTGATAGACTTAACCTTTCTCAGCAATACAAGGATCTAAGACATCTCCAAAAGACTCATGATGGAAAACGCTATCCACATCCAGAACAAGAACCATGGGGTCTGAATGCACGTGGAAGCAGACTATTAGCTCTCCATTTCTTTTATTGTTTTGTTTTTGTTTTTTCTTTCTCATGGTTCTAATTCTTCTTCACATCATGACTAATGTGAAAATATGCTTACTATGAATGTATAAATAGAGCCTATATCAGATTGCCTACCATCTGGGGGGGGAGGAGAAAGTGGGGGAGAAAATTTAAAACTCAAAATCTTACAGAAGTGAATGTTGAAAATTAAAATACTTTTAAAAAAAAGAACACCTACCTAAAAAAAATAAAATAAAATACGACTCCTCTGGTTTTTCAGGCCCTTTGCCATCTAGCTGCCATCTCACTTGCCAGAGTGACTTCACCTGACTCCTTCTGTACCCCCTCCTTCTACTCATCCTGTCCTGCTCCCTGTGCTCCTACACACACCCCATACCCCAGCACTGCAAAGCTCTCTTCTCACTTCAGGGCAGCTGCGTGGTGCTGTTAACCCTGTTTGCTTCAGTTTCCTCATCTGTAAAGTGAGCTGGAGAAGGCAATGGCAAACCATTCCTGTATCTTTGCCAAGAAAACCCTAAAAGGGGTCAAAGAGTCAGACACGACTGAAAATGACTGAACAACAAAAACTGTTTCCGCTGCATTAGAACGCAGTCCCCTTGAGGGCAGGGGCTATCTTGCTTTTTTAGTTGAATCCTCAGCTCTAAGCACATATCAAGTGTTTAATAAGTGCTTTATTCATTCATTTGTTCATTATTTGTATCTCTAGCAGTTAGCCCAATGCTAGCACATAGTAGGTACTTACATTTGCTGAGTGAAACTTAAATGAATGAATTTTTCTTTTTGAGGGGGGCTAGGCAATAGGGTTAAGTGACTTGTCCAGGGTCACACTGCTGGTGTTATGTGTCTGAGGCTGCATTTGAACTCAGGTCCTCCTGAATCCAGGGCCGGGCTCTATCCACTGCACCAACTAGCTGCTCCTTGAATGAACTTTTGATAAATGCTGTTTAGTGGTTTCAGTTGTGTCTCTTCGTGACCCCATCTGGAGTTTTCTTGGCAAAGATACCAGGGTGGTTTGCCATTTCCTTCTCCAGCTCATTTTACAGATGTGGAAACTGAGGCAAACAGGGTGAAGTGACTTGCCCAGGGTCACACAGCTGGCAAGTATCTGAGGACAGATTTGAACTCATAAAAATTAATCTTCCCGAGTCCAGGCCTGGCGCTCTATGCACTATGGTGCCCCCTAGCTGTGTTATTGTACTGTATACTGATAAAAGTAAGCAATTCTTATTACCTCTCCAAAAATCTGTGATTTTATCAGCTATGTAAACATGGCTGGGTCCTTTTCTAAGCTGGGAGCTAGAGACTCTCAGCCCTACTAATGGCAGAGGGCACCCCCCCACACACACACACATCCCTCCCAGCCTTAGATGACAATCATTCACGAGCTGATGTGGCTGAAAAAACTCATCTCTCCATGGTTAACTTCCTCATGAGTCTGCCCAGGCTCTCGCTCCCCTGCCACAGCCTTTGCCAAGTTATTTCTATGCTGTAACGAGGTGCTGGAAGGATTGGATCTTGGTGGAGAATTTTATTTTGGGAGCCGGAGGAGGAGTAGGACAGAGTATCCTGACTCGGCCAGATCTGTGATCTTGAGTCATTTCTACAATGTAGCTGATCAGAACGCAGCCCCATCTTCACATACACAAAGTGTTATTGCTGAAAAATGAGAACATCATCACTGCTATTCTTCTACTTTGTTTCCAGCTATGTGTGACCTTGGCAAGTCCCCAGGCTTCAGAGTCCAGAGCTGCATGAGACCTTACCTATTTTACAGAGGAAACTGAGGTATGGAAAGGTTACCATGCCATGCATGAGGCCACACAACGAATAAGAAACAGTGTGTGGGGGGGCTCAGTGGATAGAGCCCTGGGCCTGGAGTCAGGAAGACCTGAGTTCAAATTTGGCCCCAGACACTTACTAGCTGTGTGATCTTGGGCAAGTCACTTAACCTCTGTTTACCTCAGTTTTCCCAACTGTAACATGGGCATAATGATAGAACCTAATTTCCAGGATTGTTGTGGGGATCAAATGAAATACTATTTGCAAAGTGTTTAAGCACAGTGCCTGAAACATAGCAGATGTCTGTTTGCTGGTTGGTTTTTTGGGGGGATGGGCAAGGCAATTAGGGTTAAGTGACTTGCTCAGGGGCACACAGTTGGAAGTGTCTGAGGCCAGATTTGAATTCAGGTCCTACTGACTCCAGGGCCAGTGCTCTATCTACTGAGCCAGCTGGCTGCCCCATAGTAGGTATTATATAAATGGTAGTATTAATAAATAGCATGACTGGAGAAAGAAATGGCAAAGCACTCCAGTATCTTTGCCAAGAAAACCCCACAGACAACACAGTCAGGACTGAACAACTGAACATGTAGTGCAGTGGATAGATTATGGAACTTGGCAATCAGGAACACCAGGGGTCAAGTCCTACCTTTGATTTATTATTAACTGTGACCCTACATGACCTCTTTCCTCCTGCTTTCTAGCAAGCCCTCTCTGGCCACCTCCATCATGGCCCTGGACCGGGCCCCTCCTCCCCATTTCAGCTCCCTTTTAGGTGTAGTCTGTCTTCTCCCATTGGACAGTAAACTTCCTGAGGGCGGGGCTGTCCCCAGCACTGAACATACAGTAATGGCTTAATAAATGCTTGTGGATTTGACTAGACAAAGTACCCTCTCCTCACAATTCCCACTGAGGTAGGGTTTTACAGAAGAGGCTGGTGACGGTGAGGGACACAACAACCTGGCAGCAGTCACTCAGCAGGATGTGGACAGCCCACTGTCCTCTATTCCATGAAATGTCAGAGCTCCATCCCCTCTTATGATTGATTAGGGACCAGGATCTACAGAGTCAGAGAATCCAAGTTCTCTGATACAAATTCAACACCAGTGCCAGGCTGGCCCTTAATGCTGGCTCAACAGAGGTCTTTTTAGAGAGGGTGACTGAGGACCAAAAATGTGGGGGTAGGGGTGGAGGGAAGAGATTAACAACATAAAACAATGGAAAAGATGCTGAATTTGGGCTCAGGGCTAGGATTCCTATCTCAGAGCGTCTGAACGTGCTACCTTGAGGACTTTGGACAAGATGCTTTCCTCACTTTAAGAGACTAATAAGCTCCGAGGTCCCCCCCAACTCTAAATCCTGAGGCAATATGGTAGTGGAACGCCTAAAGGATTGAGTCAGAAGACTCAATTCATTCAGCATTCAGAAATGCTGATTCTGTTGCTCCAACTCATTTATTCCTTGAATGAACATTCATAAAGCAATGAGACCCGGGCCACATGTACAAGACACTTGCTAAGAACTGAGGATCCAAAAAGAGAAAGAAAAAAAAAACCTCACGGAACTTACATTTTACAGGGAAGGCATAGGAGTCCTACCAGGGCAAATACAGGGCAAGGCCCTATGTGATGGGGGTGAACGGGAGATGCAGCTGAAGCACTCAAGGAAAGCTGGGTGAGGGACAGAAAACACTGCTAGCAGGACGAGGCAGTACCTGGGCTGACCTCATCTCTGCCTCTTGGCTGCCTTCCCGGCCCGGCTAAAACTTCCTTTATAGGAAGCCTTCCCTGGGCTCATCATCTCCAACCGATCCTGTGCACAGCCTGTTTACGGGTTCTTTCTCCTCTCCCCCTCCCTCTGCGCCCCACCATTAGACCATAAATTCTTTGAGAGAAAGGACTGTCTTTCTGCCTCATTTTGAATGTCCAGTTCTTAGCACAGTAGCTGCGATACAAAGAATGCTTATCTCTCCCCATCTCCCACCCCCACTTAATAATCTCCAGTTTATGCTGTGTATAGCTTGTTTGCGTGTGGTCTCCACCATTAGACGGTGAGCTATCAATAATCAATCAATCGACGTTCATTGAGCACCCACTATATGTCAGGCACTGGGTTAAGTGCTAGGAATACAAAAAGAGGCAAAAGACAGTCTGGCCTCTATGAGCTTACAATCTAAAGGGGGAGACAGCCTGCAAACGATATAGACAAAGCAAGCTGGATACAAGATGTACAGCAAACGATGAAAGGAGGGAAGGCCCTGGCCTCTTTCTGCGCCCCGGCGCTTAGGCTAGTGCCCGGCACACAGTAGGTGCTTAATACATGTGCACTGGCTAGCAGTGGGTGTGGGGGGCCGAGTCCGTCGAGGGCCCGCGCCCTCTGGGCTGCACCTGGGGGGGTCCCCGGGCGAGGAAAGCCCCCGACCGTCCGCGAGCTCGGCGTCCACGCCGCGGCCGGGCGCTATGACCCTTTTCAGCTCCGTCACTCCCCGAACCTCTGACTTACCCGGGGCTGGGGGCCGGGCGCCGGGAGAGGTCCCGCGGCCGGAGCGGGTGACGGAGATTCCGGCGGCCGAGCTCCCGGTGCCGCCCCCTGGGCGGAGAACACGCCCCAGCCCGGCCTACGGGGAGGAGGAGGGATCAGCTCCGGACGCGAAGGCTACGCATGCGCGCTAGTCCTCTCTCGCTCAAACTGCTACAGAAAACCTCGGCCTGGCGCGTGCGCGCGGCCTCAACTACCTGGCGGTTGTCGGGGCAGTGCAGCGCTGGGCGGGGCCTCTACCTCATCCGAGCGCCTCCGGCCTAGGGGTGGGAGGTGAGGGTGGGGTGGAGCCTGGCCCTCAGCCTGCGCCTAGGCTTTGGGTCACGTGCCATGAGGAGGGTGGGGGCGGAGGGAGCCGGCCGACTCTATGGTCTCAGCCGCGACTAGAGCGGCTCCACTCCCACCTCCCAGGGAGGGCTTCCGGCGCGCGCCGAGAGGCGTTTCCGGTCCAGCCGGGACTGAGGCGGGTAGTGGGGGTCCGTTGGCTCCAGGCAGAGGACTGGAGCCTGAGACCCGTGACAGGTGAGGGGGGAGCGGGTCCCGGCCCGGCGAGGTAGGGGAGGCGGGCGGGCGGGCGCCGGAAGTCGCCGCATGACTCCTAGAATCGTGCCCCGACCCCTCTGGGCCTCAGTTTTCCTCCTCGGCGGTGGTAGGGGGCGGAGGTCCCCAGCCCCGGGAATGTTTCTGAGTGTCCGGATGCTCCGGGGGCCCCGAGATAAGGACCGAAAGGGCCGGCCCCCGCCCCCGAGGAACTTCCAGTGTAGCGGGAGGCGGGATCGGGGAGGGGGGGAGGGCTCTTCGCTGACCCCCGCCCCTCCCCCCCTCCGCTCCCCTCCCCACCAGACCAGGGGCAGAGGCAGAGCGGTCCCCCCGCCCCAAGTCATGCCTCTAAACGCAGAGCCCCAGATACACAGGGTTGCGGAGGAAACCAAAGCCAGGCCCAGACCCTCCACCCGGGGAACCCCAGGCAGGCCCGGGCGCTCGGAGCGGGGGATGAAAGGAGGGGACGCGGGGGAGGGGCCGAGTCGGTGACATGCGGGTCTCCGAGTACCCCGGAAAGCCAGGTTAAGGAGCTCCTCTTCAGAGCTCCCTCTGACCTTGGTATTCTTCAGTCCTCCGGCCGGGGGAGAAGTGGGGAGCCGAGGGGCAGGAGTGTCCCGTACAGGAAGATCAGAGCAGAGGGCAGGTGAGCTCGTGGGGAGCTTGAAAAAAGGGAGAAGGAGTGAGAGCAGGGAGGGAGGTAGTCGGGTGAGACGAGTCAGTTCGCCTGTTCTGAGCTGTTACCCACGTTTGTGTCTGGTAGCTAGCACTCATCGAGCTTTTTAAGGTTTGCAAATGTGTGTTAACTCATTTGACCCTCACAACAGCCCTGGTGCTATTGTCATCCCCCTTTTACAGTTGAGGAAACCGAGGCAGCAGAAATTAAGCGACTTGCCCAGGAGCACACAGCTAGTAAGTGTCTGAGGTAGCATTTGAATTCAGGTTTTCGTGAGGACAAGTGTAGCGCCCCCTAACTGCCTTATTTCACCTGTCGGACTCAGCTTTTTGAGGAGGGAGACTGACTTAATATTTGTATTTTCCCCAGTACCTAGCTGGCAAGGGTCTGGCTCATAGTAGAGGCTTAATGTTTGTTAAATTTGTTGAAACAGGAATGGAGGTTAGAGAGGAAGGATGATGGGGATAGTTGTAAATGGGATAGAGAAGAGGTGGAGAACTAGGTGTAAGAAACAGAAGAAAAGACAAGGGGAGGGGTAGGAAGTTAGAAGGGGATTGGGGAATAGTCATTAGGACTCTATGATGGAAATATCATCTGCCCCTCTGTGACAATTTCAGGTCATCCCGAATTCTCTTCTACCCTCTATTCTCCCCTTAAAAATAGCCAGGTCCTTTCCTGAAAGTGCTTGAGAGTAAGAGTATGTGAGGAATGAGCCCTTGGAAGGGGCCTCTCTGAACACGTCCTGGGTCTTGGGGCTGGGGGAGGGGGATTATTGCGGTGGCAGCAACGGCCTCTGGGTGACTTCCTGACAGCTGCTCACCAGCTATTCCTGTGCTCTGAACCTTAGCCCAGGAATGCCTGCCTACTCACGAGCCTTTCGTTTCCCCCCCTCCTAGGCTGCTTTGGGGAGCACTGGCTTGGTCGTGCTTGGGGAGAAGATGGTGTCTGTGACAATGGGTGAGTCTGTGAGGGCCTCCCAGGACCCTTTCCACTTGATGAGGGTGGTGGGGGTTGGGTTAGCTGTCAGGGCAGGCAAACCCTGTATGTCGTAGTGACGGTGACAGCTGCTGGTGTGTGGAATGCAGGCTGGGGCCTCTAGCCCAGAAGCCATTAGGATTGTGTTTAGGGCTCCTGTAAAGGGCCCTTTCCCCCCTCTCCTGCCTTTATCCTGGCTGCAGCTTCGGTGACAATATTCTGTTCTGGTCCCTCTGAGATTGAGGGGGCCAAGGTGTACCAGGCTTAGCCATTTCCCATGGGTCTTCCCGGGTAGCCTGGGAAAGTTCCAGCATTGGGGATTGCTTGTCTCTCATCTTGGCTCTTCTTCTCCTGAGATTTCTCCCCATGGATCCTGGCCAGTTCCTTCTTAGGCCTAGCAAGTTCTGTTGAGAATATTAGAAGGGACTGGAGCCTCCTTCCCATTTCACTCCAGGCTGTATGTTGAGTTTTGGGGGCTGCGGGATGCTGGGGTTGGCTTGAGGGTCAGAGCCCTCCGAAGCTGGCCTGGGCTCCTGGGGTCTCTGGCCTTCAAGTGGAGCTACTGGGGCACTGGTCAGAAACTTGGTCGGGGCGCTTCCTGCTCAACTGTCCGTTTGTATGGTTCCCTTCTAAGTGCCGTTGCAGTTCTGAGCTGCTCGTCCTTCAACAAGCACTTATTAAGTGCTTGCTGTGTGCCAGGCACCAAAACCAGTGTCCCTGCCCTCAAGGGGCTCCCATTCAGATGGGGGAAGAGAGCCTGTAAATAAAGATGTACATATGGGATTGATACAGAGGTGATGGAAGGTGACATCATAGAGAAAGGGCTTTCAGCAGAAACTGAGGGGAGGGGTGTACAGCTATAAACATGAATGAAGCACCAACTGTATGCTAGGCATTGTGGTAGGCAGTAAGGTTACAAGGACAAAATAAAATAGTCCTGTCCCTCAAATATTCCTAGAATAAATATGAAGTAAATATGGGGCAGTTGGGGGAGGGGGAGGGCGTTAATAATTGAAGGATTACCGAAGGCTTCCTGTAGGAGATAGGGCTTGAACCAAGGTTTGGAGAAAGTGAGGACTCTTGTTAGGAGGAGGAGATAAGAGGGAGTGGACTCCAGGCCTTAGAGACCCATGGGGTGGCAGGTGGGGAAGGGAAGGGATGTGAGATTAAGCTAGAAAGGTCACTTGGGGGCCAGTCTGTAAAAGGATTGAAAAAGTCAAGCAGAGGGAGTTCTGTTTGGTCCCAGAGGCAACAGGGACCCCCCTGGAGTTTGTTGGTTGGGGAGTGCCGTGGTCTGACCTGGGCTTTCGGAAAATCACTGGCAATTGTGTGGAGAGCCCATTGGAGAGGGAGACACTTAGGAGCATCTGTGTGTGTACCTCTGGGATGGCCTACAGAGCATACAAACTTGTAAATGTGTGTGTGCAGACCTCTGTGTTATTGGGGAGCGGTTGTGTAAGCACAAGTCTGTTTGCCCACGTCATTGAATGTACAGGGATGCAGTGGCATCCTCGGCCTGCTTCCTGCTGCTTCTGCCTCAGAGGTTAAGCTCTTATAATGAGGCTTGTGGCCAGAAGCAAAGAAGGAAACGTTGGCCGAAAGGAGTTTGCCTGAGATCTAGACTCCTCTTTCCTCTTCAGATTGCTCCCGCTAGTGGGTCTTTATTCTCCCTCTTCCTCCTAAACACAGTAGCCAGACCTCCTTGGCTTTCTGGAATACTCCCTAACCTGGTGCATTTGGCAGTCTGTACCAAATTAGTTACCATGGGTAAAGCACTTTATAATTGGGGATGGGGAAGGGAATAAACATTTATAGAGCACCTACTATGTGCCAGGCACCACACTAAGTGATGTAAATATCACATTTGATCTCCCAACAACCTTGAGGGGTAGCTGCTATCGTTATCCATATTTTACAGTTGAGGAAACTGAGACAGGCAAAGATTGAGTGATTAGCCCAGGCTCACACAGCTAGATAAGTGTCTGAGGCTGGATTTGAACTCAGGTCTTCCTGACTTGAGGTCCAATGCTCTATCCACCGTGCCACCAGTTGCCTCCACGCTGCTAATTCTTGCTAACTAAATGCTGACTGTTAACTGTCATGTGTTATGCATGTAGGTGTGCCTAATAATTATAGTCTCCTGGGTGCTCTTCAGAATCTTATTATTTTTATCCTGAACTTAAATAAAGTGAGCATTCATACACACATATATATGTGTATATATGTATATATGTGTAGTTAGCATAGAACAGAAAAAGATGATTGTATAAGAAACTGTGTATCGATTATGTACAGCTTGCTTTTCTTTTTGTAATAAATTCAACATGTAACTTTCAAAGCTGTCCTGCTTGTCTGTAATTCTTTCTGGCCTTCCTTCTGTTCTCTCTTTTAAAAAAATTCTTCTGTGATTTTTTTCTTTCTTTTCTTTTTCTTGCTACCCTGTTCCTAAGTCCACCCCCTTCTTCCCACCCACCACATCAAAGCTGTGAAAAACAAAACAAACCCAAAACTCTTGTAACCGATATGCAGAGATGGTTGCATGCTTCCTCCTTACTCCTCAGGAATTGTAGCTGAAAGTTGTACCGATGAAAGTTCTTAAGTCTTTCCTAGTCGATTTCTGTACAGTGTTGTTATGCATAAATTGTTTTCCTGGTTCTGCTCACTTCACTTTGGTTTCTCTGAAACCCTCCCCTTCATCATTTTATAGGGTGAAATAATATTCCATTGCATTCATAACCATAATTTGTTTAGCCATTCCTTAGTAGCTTTGCTAGAGCAGTTTTCCCCCAGGTGCTCTTCTGAGGCCCAAAGGATAGTGAAGGAACCTAAGATGGTGACCTGTGAGTGTCGGCTACAGGAGCTGGGGGAGTCTTGCCTTAGAAGGGAATACTTAGGAGGAAGGACCATGATGGGGTCTTTAAGGACACAAAAGGGTGGCAGGGGAAGAGGGATTAGCCTTGTTTTGCTTAGCTGTAGAACACTCCCTAATAAGGGGCAGTGGGTAGAACTTAGAAAGAGACAAGTTTAAGATTGAAATAAGGAAAAACTTACTAATGACTAGATCTGCCCTAAAGGGAAGTGGCTTGTGTCTGGAGGTGCTGGGCTCCACTCCGGGAGGGCTTCTCAGATAAAAGGGGACCTTGTGGGGAAACACAGTGAAGGGCATCTTTGTGGAGTTCCACATCAGAGGAGATGGCTTCTGAGATATTGTCCCACTCTGGCATTCTGTGACATGCTCTCAGTGACAAGGGAACGAGGGGTGGGCCTTTAGCTGGGGCTCAGCTAAGGTGGATGCACTTCCACGTCCAAAAGATTGGATTATGTTGTGAAGGAGGAGGCTGGGGTTCCGGAGCCAGGGTACACCACATTTGGGGGTGACAAGATACATAACTGGTTCTCTGACTTCTGCCTATCTCTCTGTAGCTACATCAGAATGGATCCAGTTCTTCAAGGAGGCTGGGATCCCCCCGGGGCCTGCTGTCAACTACGCCGTAATGTTTGTAGATAACCGGTAAGGCTGCAGTGGGCTCCAGAGCGAGAGCCACAGGGGGAGGGAAGGTGGCTTAGTGCCCGGCCTGGGCTCCCCTGTTCACTGCCCAGCGTTGCCCACAGGATCCAGAAGAACATGCTGCTGGACCTGAATAAGGAGATCATGAATGAGCTCGGCGTGACTGTGGTGGGTGACATCATCGCCATCCTCAAACATGCCAAGGTGGTGTACCGCCAGGTGGGTGTGCCTGCCCGAAGGCTGAGGCTGGTCATTCAGTGCAGCCCCCGACTCAGACCGCCTTCTGGGGGGTGGGTCACAGGGGCTGAAGGCTGCCTGGCCCTCTTTCCTACTGTTTGGTCTTCTGTGGTCAAGGAGCCAGAGGAGTGAGTCGGCATTTCCTTTTTTTCCCCTGTTACACTAGGAGGCTTCCTTAGACTCTTGGCAGATCCCGTGACGCTGTGCTGAGTCTCAGTGCTTTTGCTAGATTACATGGTGACTGACATGAAGTGCAATGGATTACGAGCAAAGCCTGTGCCCCCCTCCCCCAGCAGAACTGTCTGGGGTAGACATTCGAGATGATGTAATCATGGACATTGGGAACCGCCCGACAGGCACCCTTCATTTGGGCTTCATGATATCCCCCCACATCAGTGCCCCAGAACAGAGACCAGGCTAGCGAGGGCTTCGTGGAGTCACATGTGCTCACACAAGCTAGGGAGCGGCAGAGGCCGAGTCAGACCGAGGTGCCGCCTGCCTGCCCGGCCTGAGAGAACTGAGGGCCACACAGTGGGAGTGACCTGCTCCGGGTCCCACACAGCCAGGGTCTGACCCTCCATCCCTGAAGGAGCCAGACTGTCCCAGTTCTGTGATTGTCAGTGATGGCATCCCTTTTATCATTTAGAGGCAGCCTGGCCTTGCTTGCACTAAGAAGCATCCAGGGCACCAGACGCTCATCCTGGCGTTGTTCTCACCCTCCTGTCTTTTACAGGATGTGTGCAGAGCGGCTGCCGAGTCCTTGGCGTCCAGCCCTGGCCACCTACAGGCAGAGCTCAGGCGCAGCGCTACCAGTGGTGAGTTCATCCTTCACAGCTCCCTGCTCGGCTCCTCTGGGCACTCAGCATTGGTGACTTCCTGCACACCACCCGAGAGAGCAGTCACGGCAGCCACGCGGGCAGCGGTGGGGGCAGCCCGCCTCAGCCTCTAGAGTGAGGCTCTGGCCTCAGTTTCTTCACCTGTAAAAGGGCAATGACGGTCCTCCCACTATACACTACAAAGTGTCGGGAGACGCGTGGGAGCTGGTGCACAGAAAGCCTTCCCCGCATCTGGAAGGGTGATAGAAATGTCAGCCCTGTTTTACTGTAAGAATAGGGGAGGTGAGCTGAAGACCAAGCCTCAGCACCCATTTCCCCTTCCCTTGCGACTGTGTCTTCTCAGAACTTTGACAGGGTCAAGGGTGGATCAGAACCCAGTAGCGGCCGTCCCCCACCCCGCGCCTGGGCTTCGACGGTCCGAGCCCCACTTGTGAGTCTCATTCTGTTTGTCACATCTCCAGCCGCCTCTCGGATGATTGCTAACAGCCTGAGTCGGGACTCCCCACCCAGCCCCCCTGCCAGGCGCCCCGACACCAGCGCCTCCAAGATCTCAGTCACCGTCTCCAACAAGATGGCTGCTAAGCACGCCAAAGCTGCTGGTATGGGGAGCGCGGCGGCAGGGCACCTGTGAGGATGGGGGATGGGGGCAGGGGGGTGGCCCGAGTGCCTCTGGGGGGCTTCTGCTTCCTCGGGGACCCTCTCGCGGACTGCATCTTCCTAAGAAAGCTTTGGCGGCAGTTGTTGAGATGAAATTCCAAGCCTTTGAGTCCAGTGAGTGAGCTGAGATGGAAGGTGGGAAGGGGGACGCTTTTCTGACTGTGTTCCTTCCCCCATCCTGGAATGTTTCTGAGGGTCCCTGACCCAGCTGCCCATATCTGGCCCCTCCTAGCTCTGGGCCAGCTTGAAGAAGAGAATGCTGCCGTGCCGGTGAAGCGGAGGCGTCGAGTGACTGCGGAGATGGAAGGGAAATATATCATCACCATGCCCAAGGGGACCACTCCTCGAACACGGAAAATCCTGGAGCAGCAGCAGGCGGCTAAAGGTGAGGGCAGGGGCTCCCCCTGCATCTCTGGGGGAGCCCGGCTGGGGAAGGCAGGCAGGAGGCCTCTTCATTCTAGTCCTGGGAGCCTCCTAGTGGGCCACATTCTGGGCTTTGGGCATGTTAGCATTGTGAGGATCACATAGTCTGGCTTCTCACTGCCACATCCCCACAACTTAGTTCAGCCGTCTCTTCCCTGGGTTTCACATGCCTGTGGCCCATTCCTACCCTTTGAGCCTCCTGGGGATTGCCACGGCTCCTCCATCAGGTGTTTCTCAGGGTGGGGACGGTGTCTTCTCCTTTGTTGGCATCTCCCACAGTACCCAGTGTAGGGCTGTGCCCATCGGGGGCACTCAGCACAAGCTGTTTGACTGACTGCCTTCCCTCCCAGGCGTCCAGAGGACATCTGTCTTTGACCGGCTTGGAGCTGAGACCAAGGCCGACACAACAACTGGGAATAAGGTGAGCTGGGGCAAAGGGCAATGTGTGGAAAGCTCTTGTTTTTCCTCCCCTTCACATCCCAGCTCATTCTCTGCTCTGACGACCACTTTCCTTCCAATGTAGCCCACGGGTGTCTTCAGCCGATTAGGTGATGCCCTGGAGACGGACGAGGAGCAGGCAGGAGACAGTGACGATGACAGCTCCGTCCTACAGTATGCTGGGGTCCTGAAGAGAATGGGCAAGTCCTTTACCAAGGACAGCACCCCCCTGGGGGTGACCGTCAAGGCCAAAGCCACCAGCTCAGAGCCCAAGCCTGTCCCAGCCACCCTTCGACGCTCAGGGGGCAGCCAGGGACCCTCTGCTGAGAGAAAGCCAGAAGCATTGCCCAAAGTCAGCGTCATCCAGAGACTTGGCAAAGCCACCCTTCCCCCAGAGGCTCAGGACAGCCAAGTCACCAGCACAAAGAGTAAGTCCCCAGCTGAGTTCAAGGTTACCATAAAGAGGACCTTGGCAGGCCCAAGGGTGAGCAGCTCAAGCGAGGGCCATAGCGCGCAGATGGACAACACGGGGACTGTTAGTGTGTTTAAGAGACTGGGGCGGAAGACCGACTAACACTGCCGCTAGGGCTTGGAGAGCTGTCTTGGAGCCCCTCTGTACTGTGTCTGCCTTAACTCACACACCCAGTCTGGCCCGGCCCCTGCCTCGGCCCACCTCTGGGGCCCTCAGTTGTTTGTCTGCTTCCACTGCCTTAGCTGCCCCTTTTAGCTCCCCTTGTCCAAATTGCACCAAGTCATCCCATGAGAATGTGAAATCTGGCTAGTGAAGTGTGCTGAAGGTGGGGAGCATCAGAGAGAGAGATCCCGCTTCAGGCCAGGGATCTGGCACCATGCAGAGCCGCTTCTGCCACTGGGGATGTGTGTGTGTTAGGGGAGGCAGAGTTGACAACGGTCGGTGGAGTGGAATGGGGAGCCCTTGGGGGAACTGGTGGTATTGCATTCTGGATAAAGGACTTGGGAAATTCAGTGCTTTCTTTGCAGGAACCTTGGCTGGCCCCTTTTCTCATTTTCCCTATGTGACATCCTTCCCCTTTTCTGCTTTTCTTGGGGTTCCTTCCAGGGAAGGGGATGCCCCTTCCCCACTGGCTTTTACTTGGCCCCCAGGTAGACGTGAGAGTGCCCTATGGCATAGATGGATAGGCCTTTCCTCTCAGCCTCTCTTCCTCAACACAGCACCTGAATGGATCCTGCTCGGAGACCAACTCTGAGGTCCCCTGCAGAGGTCCCCCCACCCCAGACCCCTCCCCCCCATCTCCTCGTCCTGCCCCACAGCCAGGAGGGAGGGCCTCTTGCTTTCCCTACTGTCTCCCTCCCTTCCCCTCTACTGCTTGCTCTAGGTGATTGCCTTCAGTTTTCCTCCTTCACACTTTTTGTTTCTCTTCTATTTTCTGCCCCGGTGGGAAGGCCAGACTGCCCGCTGTCCTCTGCCTGAAGTGCGTCTATCCTCGCCCTCCTTGCGCCCTCCCCGCCGCCCATGGCGCCGTGCTGTTAGGAACTCTTAGGAGGCCAAGGTGCTGCTGGGGAGGGCTCTCCACCTTGGTGCCTGCTGGCCAGAGGAGCTTCACCTGGGCCTGTCTGCCTGCCGACAGATGCGATAATAAGAAGCTGCAGAGGGGAAAGGAAATGGGTTTTCGTATATTTTTGTGATTTTTTTTCCCCTTACTGTTTTGCTGATACGGGCAAGAAGTGTTTTTCACTGTATTTTTAGACTGAAAGTGAAATGCCTGGGGTGAGGTGGGGGGAAGGGGAGGCAGGGACCGGGCAGAACTGGGCTTTCTCCGAAGATGACACCATCCGCCTGTGAGCTGGATTCTTTCTGGACTTGTTTCAGGAATGGAGTGGAAGCCTCTGATGTGACCCTGGGTTAATAAAGCTGGGGTCACCTCTGACTTAGAAGCCCTGGAAACCAAGTACCGCAGTCCCCTCTTCCCTCGTGGCTAATGTGTTTTCTTGGTTAACACTGGGGTGGGCATTTCTGGGCGTGTTTGGCCCAGCCCAGGCTGATGGCCTTGTCACACCAGAGTGACAGAGGTGGAGCCTCAGGGGTGGTCTCCCTCCCCCTTGGTTTGGACTGGCTAGGGCTACAGCCAGCCAAGGCTCTTCTGCCACCTCCTGGTGCCTCTCCTTTTTTCCCCTCTCCTGAGCCATTTGGGAGAAGCCAAGGTGCATTCTAAGAACTAGAGTTCTAGACTTTGGTCTCTGTTGGACCTAAGCTTGAGGCTTCTCGGGGTGGGGGTCTGGCAGCCAGGGGAGGGGGCAAGGTGCTGGTCCTGCACCTTTGGGGGGGTCAGTGGAAGTGGCCACCCTCGGCAGAAACAAGTGCATCTTTGAGGATGATTCTGGTGGAGTGGAAGGGGACCTTCCCGAACTCCAACCCCCTCAATTTACAGATGGAGAACTGAGGCCCAGAGACAGGAAAGGACTTTCCCCAGGTTACAGAGAATAACTGGCAGAGATGACATTGAAGCAGGCCGTCGGACCGGATCCAGTGCACACCCGCCTCCCGGCAGGATGCGCCTGGGATTAAGGAAGGGCGGCCCGTGGGCCACCTACTGGCGTCCAGAGTAGATCCAAATCCAGCCCCTGTGACCGCCCTCGTCACATCTAAAGGGCCCCCGAGAACGTCTAGCTGCAACTGACTGCCCCTGCCGAGAAGGGCTCCCCGCCTGGCCACAGCCCCAGGGGGCGGTGCCACGTTCGTCATGGCCACCCTCTCCTAGGCTGCCCTGGCGCGGGCGTGTGAGCCACGGGCTCCCGGCGTGAGCCGAGGTCCTGGAGCTGGCCCGGAAGCCCGGGGGCTGCTGGGAGATGGTCCCGGGGGCGCCGCAGCTCCCGAGGCAAATGCGCGTGCGCACCCCGCCGCCCCTTCACTTAGGTAGTGACACTTTCCCCTTCCTTTTCTCCGTCCTGCGTGCTTGCGCAGTTCCTTCGAGAGACCACATGCCTATGGTAGGCTCCCACCGGTTTCGTTCCTCGTCGCCCCCGCTTTCTGGAACTGCGCCGGCGCAGCAACCCTGACGACTTCCCAGAGTCCTTCAGCCGGGAGTCTGCGCGCTTCCAGCTTACCGGAGTTTCCCCCCCCCTCCTCCTAGCGCCTCGCTCGTCATCCCTCACGTCAGTTCCTGTTTGTGGCAGCAGGGGGCGGTCCTTCCGGCCAGGGGGCGGGCGGCGGGCGGGGTAGGCGAACCGCGGGCTGGGGAGGGAGGGCCGGGAGGGAGGGAGGGGAGGAGTGCGGCGGGAGGGGGGCGCGCGCTCTGGAGCTGCTGCGCGAGCCGTTGGGGCCTGACGCGGAGGACGATTCACGGCCACCCGGGAGCCGCGGAGCCGCCCTAGGAGCCGCCGTCGGATGGCGATGGGCGGGAGCCGGCGCCCGCCGAGGACCCGCAGCGGCCGCCGGTGACAGGTGAGGGGGGGGCTGGCAGGGGGCGGCAGCGCCGGGGCCCCTCCCCTTGGGGAGCCCGGGTGGGGGCGGGGAGCCCCCATCTGGAGTCGGGGGCGCGGGCCAGACTCGGGCCGGGGTCAATAACAAGGGGTGGGGCGGGGGCCAGGCCGACCCTGACCTTGGGGGGGGGTCCTCCCTTCCGTCGGGCCCCCGGGCCGGGCCCTCGAGGCTCGGGAGGGGGTGGCGTGTGCCCGGCGCCTGGGCCCCACAGGGCCCGAGGCTCGTACGCTGCCCCTGCCGGGCGCAGGCACTCCCCCTGAAGGGTCTTGGGGCCCCGCTCTGGTTGTGGGTCAGTCCTCCCACACTGTCTCTGCCGCGCTCCGGGTGTGTTTTCTTCCCTTGGCAGCTCCTCGTGCAAGCGGCCCGGGGGGGGGAGGCAGTCAGCTGGGGGGGGCCACGACCAAGAGGGGGCAGTTAGCTGGGGGGCTGTCGGGGGAGAGGAGCAGTCAGCTGGGGGAGGACCACGGCCGGGGGGGCAGTCAGCTGGGCTCCCGGCTGCCCACTGGGTCCCCCCCCCACGCCGGCAGCCTGTGCCCCACTGTGCTCGCTGGGTGACCGGGCAGCTGGCGTGTTTGAGCTGCCTCTTTGCGGTCAGAGGGGAAGCGTCGTTTCCTCCAGTGTAAGTGCCCCTTGTCTTGGCAGTGCCACAGAGCCGCCACTTCCGTGGTGGCTATCTCATTGAGAGATTTCCCCATGTGTCGCTGGGCTCGGAAGAGTTTCCCCTGTAGGATGTCGGTGGTGACAGTCTGCCCTGGCAGGGAGAAACATCCCACCGAGGTGGGAGGAGGAGGCACTTTTCCCGGGGAGGGAGGTGGCAGATATGCAAACAGCTGGTTCCTCGGTGTGGTCTACTGGAAAGAATCCAGAAGACTTGAGTTCAAATCTTGATTCTCTGTTACCAACGATCTTGGTGACCTTGGACAAAAAATAGCTATACCAACTGACTGCATATATCATTTTGACAATAATGATGATGGTCACTGGTTTTATATAGCATTTTAAGATTTGCAAAGGTCTTTCCACACATTATCCCATTGGAGGCATACTGCAACCCTGAGGCAAATGCTACTGGTATTATTATTTCCATTTTACAGTAGCAGAAACTGACTAAGAGGCTAAATAGCCTGCCCCATGTCTGTGCAGCCCCGTGTGGGACAGGAGCCTAATTCAGGTCTTTCTGAATCCATTCCTGGCACTTGAGCCTTGGGCATCAGGTTCCTCGTCTGTAAAATGAGCAGGTTGAATGAGGTGATCTCTAAGGACCTTTCCAGACCTTAAGTATTAGCCTTGTCTTGAGGTAACTCTGTCCCCTGAACCTTAAGGGATGACCATGACCCCAGGCACAAGTGCGGTTGGTTACTTCCTGGCCATCAGGCAGGGCTGCTGCCTCTTTCTGTTCCTGGGAACAGGCCTGTTGGTGAGCCAGGTCCTTGATGCTAGGAAACTCTTTGTCAGTGACCTAGCCAGAAGCCCTCCCAGGGGTGGGGGCACCTGACTTTTTTTTTCTCCATCTTCATTGGTTGTAAAGGAGTCCAGCAAGAGCTGTTTTTGATTTGTCCTTACCTGCTAGAAAGGGTCCCCCCTGTTGGGGGTCTAAGGCAGGTTACTCGTGGGAGCAATCCTTCGTCATCCTCCTTCCTCATGTGCCCCGGTGCCTTGGCTCCAGAGCTCTTCTGGTATCTTATCTTTTCTCCTTTCACTTCCAAGCACTTTTCCATCACTATCTAGCTGCTCAGCAGGTCCAGCTCTGCTGTGTGTGTGTGTGTGTGTGTGTGTGTGTGTGTGTGTGTGCGCGCGTGTGCGTGCGTGTGCATGCGTGTGTGTGTGTGTGTGTGTGTGGGTTTGGGTTTGGGAAGGTAGGAGATTAATCCCTACCTACTATGAGTTTCTAGTCCATTTAGGAAGACACATGCACCCCACTCATTCAACAAACATTTCCTGAGCACTTGCTTGGCATGAGGACTATGCCCTCCCAGAACTCCTAGTTGTTTTTTTTTTAGAGGCAGTTGGGGTTAAATGATTTGCCCAGGGTCACACAGCTAGTGTCAGGCGTTTAGTCTGAGGTCAGATTTGAACTCAGATCCTCCTGACTTCAGGGCTGGCGCTCAATCCGCTGCGCCACCTAGCTGCCCTCACTGTTAGTCTATTAAGGGACATAAGACTCCTCCAAATATATACCATTGTAGAGTTTGCTAAGTACTTATAGAGAGGCATAGAGGAAGCTCCATGGGAGTCCCGAGGAGGGAGAGAAAAGAGCAGCCAATGTTTATTTATCTAGAGCTTCAGTTTTCGAAGTGCTTCCTCCATCCTTTCCTTTGACCTTTATAGCATCCCCAGAGAGGCAGGTACTACTGAGATCATTCACGTTCCACAGATGAAGACACCAGGGGTGGCAGAAGAGCCTTGGTCTGCCCATACTGCCCCTGCTCGGTGGCCAGGGTGGGGCCGTGCACAGCCCTCTCCTGACTCCGCGCTCAGCGCTCTGCAGCTCGGGGCCACTCGGGCACCGGCTGCGGTACGGACCGGAGAAGATGCCATTCTTGACATCAAGCCTCTGGGGCTCTGATTCAGTAGGCAGGAGAGAGAAAGTAGGTGATGAAGAAGATTCTCCTGGACAACTGTAATCGCTGACAAGTGGAGTACTTTTAGGTCTGCAAAGTCCTTTATGTAGGTTCACTCAACTCATCCTCCCCCAGCCCTGGGAGTGAGGTGTCCATTTACAGATGAGGTCACTGAGGCGGACAGAGGTTAAGTGACTTGCCTAGGGTCACACTTCATGTCAGATGTCTGAGGTAGGGTTCGAACCTGGGTCTTCCTCATTCCAAGTTCAATGCTCTATCTGTTGTGCTTTCAAATATTTGAATGGTCTCGTGTGGAAGAGATATTAGCTTGATTTTTCCAGGTCTTAGAGAGTAGAAAGAGGATCCAGGACGTCAGTGGGAGGCCCTTGGAGCTCTTTAAAAGGGTTTCTCCAGGCTGGGGGTGAGCTCCACATGTCTGGAGCTCCTTGAGCAGAGACAGACTGGCCTCTCATTGGGCATGATTTGGGGGGTTTGCTGGAGCTAACCCGCATGATCCCTGCGGTCACGTCTGATTCTTCAGTCTGTTTGCAAACAGACTGTTTTCAAAGCCAGACTGCATGGACAGACTGAGTGAAGTTGGGATGGGGAAGAACCGAGCAGGGATTAATGATCTGCCTGCTGAGGGGTCACCATGTCGCTGGCCCAGGAAGGCCATGCAGGACACTGGATCTCTTTGGCTTGTAGGTCCTCTCTTGGACTTCTGATCTGGGTCCTGCCTGCCCAACCTGACGGTGGCCTAGCTCCTTTCTTTCCCTCTGTGAGTTAGCTGTCTGGGCCTTATGCAGGCCAGGGACCCTTCGGGCTCTGTGTCTCCCTGTCTCTGCCCCAGCCCTGTCCGGCTCTCACTGCTTCACTCAGTGTGATGTTACATATTAACCTCAGCCTCCTGCTTCAGAAGGAATCTCCCTCCTACTGAACACCTCTGGCAGCTGGAGCCCAGAGTTAGCAGAAGCTCCACTTATTTCTCCTTCCCTCATTCCCAGCCTGCCACATAGGCTTTTTAGGCGGAAGGGGCCTCAGCCCACCTGCTTCTGCTTGATGTCTACTCGGGAGCTGACCCCAGCGTCTTCTCCAGGCTGCTCCTTTCACTTTTGGATTGCTCTCAGTGGTTAGGAAATTCTTTCGGCCAGAAGCCTAACGTGGCCTGGTTTCAGCTGACCCTTCTTGCTCCTGGCTCGGCATTCACTTGTGCCCCTTCAGTTCCTGGCCGGTGATGCGGTCCCTGTTGGCATCTTGACTCCACACTTTTCTTCCTCTTTCCCCTCTCCCCTCCGCTCCTCGCTGTCCCTTGGCCTCTTCTTTGCCCTTCTGCTTGGGTCTCCGTCCCTTCTGGTGATTCCTTTGTTTTGGACCACAGCCACTGCTGGCTATCTCTCCCCTCCCTCTTTCTGCCTCCTGCCACAGATAGTGGCTTTTTATCTTTATCTGCAGTGAAGCCTGGCCAGACTTGGCTTCATCTAGAGGGCAGTCTGTTACCCAGGCTTGGTGGCCTTCCACCTGCTTGACTGGCTCAGTCATTGTCACAGAGCCCTTCCTCCAACCCCCTTTTTTTAGCAAGAGGCTTGGAGACAAGCTTCCCAGAGAAAGGACTTGTTCTGGGCCATGGAGCGAGTCATGGGCAGAGCCCAGCCAGGCATCCTGGGCACCCGGAGCAAGTCATGGGCTGAGCCCTAACCTGGCACCCTGGGCACCAGAGGAAACCACCTTTTTGGTGGGGTGTGCCCAAGAGGAAAGTGCCCTGGAGGACGTAGGCTCTTATTTTAGCCCTATGACCTTGGACCAAATTGTTTGGAGGACCTGCGTTCAAATCCTGGCTCTGTCACTGATTATGGGAGCGTAACTTAACATCCTCAGGCCTTACTTTCCTCATGTGTATGATAAGGGGTTGGCCTTAAGGGTTTTTAAGGCCTTCTTTTAACCTTGGGACCATCCCTTATCTTTTGAGGCCTGGTGTCCTCAGTGTGATTTGCATAGATCAGCAGGGATTTGTTAAAGGCCTGCTAGGTGCTGGGGGTACAAGAACCAAAGAATCCCCATCCTCAAGGAGCTGATGTTTGACTGGGGAGGGAGGGATGTGCCGGCCCTAGAAATAGTCTAATAGTAGTGAAGTTCACAGGAAAGGAGGGAGTGGGAGCAGCCGGAGGGAAGTGGGTTGGCTTCCAGGACAAGTTTGAAGCAGATGGTCCTGGAGGCTCTGTCTCGGCCTCAGATTCTGCAATTTGGCCTTTGTTGGGACTTCAGAGCGGCTTGGGGTTCTGTCCCTGGGAAGGACCCTAAATGGCCACTGCCTGTGCCAGAGAGGCCGGAGCGGGGGTGGGGTTGGCTGTGGCAGCCTCCTCCAGATGAAAGACCGGGGAGGAGGAGGCCCCAGTTGGGGGA